AGAATCCCATGGGCTAAAACATAAAATGTAGTCATAGACCAACAAACACGTCTGTCATACACGTGTCGCTGTACACGGATGTATAAAAAACAATAGTGTGTGCTCACCCTCATATGAAGACTCCAAGGGAAAAACCAGCTTTGTCCATTTTAGTCGGAGCCGAGAAAAATACAATTTAGCGTTAGAATCTTATCCCCATTCGTTAATTTTTAAAGAAATATATTATTTTTGATTGGTTGAATAATTAGAAAAATATATATTACTGCCAATTCTGAATTATTGTTAATTATTGCAATATTCTGAAATGCCGAAATAAAAATGTCAAAATGCAAAACAAAACAGGGGAAAAACCAGGGATGTCCAATTAAAAGTTGTATCCTTTTGTATTAAACCTAAATCTAAACTATTGTTTCTTTGTTGTAGGATGAAAATTAATATTTAAGTAGGTGTTTATTAGATTACTTAAATTTAATACATGTAATACTAACTGCGAGATGTACCCTTGTTGCCCATGCGTAAGGACATCTCTGGTTTTTACTATTTACGCGTGGACTACTCCGGTTTTTTCCTTGTACAGCAAAATAACCAATCTGTAATATCTCTGGGACTAACAGTATTATTGCTTCCATTGATGGTACCTCGAATAACGCTAAGATTTGCCTATAAAGTTGTGTCGCTATCTTAATTTCAATGAAAATGTGACATATCTGGTTTTTCCCGTGTAGTCTTCATATGAGCTTGTCAAGCATGACGTCACTGATCTATGAACACATTCAGTGTACATTCATGATTTTCGGCTGCAACTGAAAGCTTGTGCGTCACAAGGTTACTTTATTATTTCTTGCTATATGTCGTGACATATCAACGCGCAAGCTTCAATTTTATACACAGCTGGTGATCCTAAATCACTAGTCTGGATTTTAACGCAAGAAATGATGAAAATTCACTAGTATAAATACAGAATATTGAAATAGAGAGAAAAACGGGCTGATACAATTTTTTGTGAAACTTCTTTACCGGCGATGGGGGTACAAAGGCCGCGACACATCCATGACACACGAGACGCGAGAGGAAAAGTGGTAACGATCTTGGAGCGTCGTAACTCGGGCCCTATGTGAGCTAGGGGGCTGAAACTCGGAATGTAGATAGGGCTCTAAGAGTACTTTTCGTGCACTATAAACCCCATCATCCATGAATCAAATCAAAAAATCGTCCGATTTAAATGAAATTTGGTATGTCGATAGATTGGACCAAAGTCAACTTGACCGTGTACGAAACGTGTGTTACTGTAACAGTTAGTTTTGACGTAAGAAACGTCCAATGTTGATGTCGTCCGATCGCGATCAAATTTGTCGGGGGGTACGACGTTTCCTTTACATCTTCATCAGGGTGGGACTAACGATTTGATATTGAAGAAAAATGTGGGTCGATTTCAGCATAATTGGGGACGGGCTACAGGATGACTTCCTCGACGTTTCGAACCGTTGCTTCTAAATGAACGAAATCATCAGGTTTTTTCTTAATTATGGGTCGATTGGAACCAAACTCAGCACGTGTATAGAGGTACTCCAATGAACGACTAGACAGATAGACGGCTAGACGGAAGTAAGAAGTTTCACACAATTTGTTTTCTCTCATCTTTTCTATCTGTCTCTCTCATCATGCATACTGTACGTAGGAACCGCCAACAACTTTGTATTTTTTCTGTCTCCCTTGTTAAATCAACTAATAGGGTCATTTATCTTTTTGTCTTTTGACTGATTAAAATACTGACCACGGATTTAGAATGACCAGAACGGTTTGTTTGGGCAGTTGTATTCTGGTCTGTGATGCTGTGGCCTGACATACTCTTGAGGGATGTTACAGCTTACAGGTTATACAGGGTGTCCCAGGCTGAGCGTGCATTAGAACTTTCTAGAGAACTACAACATCTAGCTCGGAGATTTCTTGCACATCATAGTTTCACAACGAGATCTATCGATCAGAAATATTTTTAATATGGCGGCAATTCCGGAAGTACCGGAAGTTGGCAACAACTTTCTTATTTTAAATGGGTGTCCCCATTTTTTATTACATACTTATATTCTCTGTAAAATTTTATGAATTTTGATATTAAACACTCTATATCTAACATTGGCCGTTTTTGAGAAAAAAAAATATTTAAAATTTTTGAACGAAAAAAACTACCTGTCAAAAATATGTGTATAGCCTAAACGTCAAATTTAGTGATTACCACAGCCACTGTGCCATAAAGAGAAAACATGTGGCTATCTATTTCAAATATTAAATTGTTCGAATGTCATATAATCATGGCCACAGCTGTCATAGAATTGAGCGATTAAAAAATTATCATATATAATTTTTTTAAATGGAAAACCACTTTTTTTATTTCACTAGTGAAAAGGTTTTTTAATTCGTTACTTTTGGTTTATACATGTTCCTATACCTAAAATAAATGGTTTTTAAGTTATTTAAGATTTAGTTTTAAAGGGTATATTTTTTTGTTTTTTTAACCAGTAGCCTAAGCCTTTAAACGTCACGCGACGTAAAACTATATCTGGCCATGTCATATTGCCACTATCTATCACTAAAATACGAGATATATTTTTATAAATACACTTTATAAAGTTTTACCAGCAGTATTTATAATACTATACGAAATTCAAATAATTAGTTTCTTGACAGAAGGAAATAAATTGTCTGATGGTTTCACACTTAATGTCAAAGGAAGCTAGCTAAAATCAAGAAAAAATTACGCTTTAAAACTAAATCTTAACTTAAAAACCATTTATTTCAGGTATAGGAACATGTATAATCAAAAAGTAACGAATTAAAAAACCTTTTCACTAGTGAAATAAAAAAAGTGGGTTTCCATTTAAAAAAAATGACTTATGATAATTTTGTAATCGCTCAATTCTATGACAGCTGCGACCAATACTATATGACATTCGAACAATTTAATTTTTGAAATAGATAGCCACATGTCTTTATGTCCCAGTGTCTGTGGTAATCGTTAAATTTGACGTTTAGGCTATACAAATTTTTTTGACAGGCAGTTTTTTTCCTCCAAAAATATTAAATATTTTTTTTTCTCAAAAACGGTTAATGTTAGGTATAGAGTGTTTGAGATCAAAATTCACAAAATTTTACAGGGAATTTAAGTATGTAATAAAAAATGGGGGTACCCATTTAAAATAAGAAAGTTGCTGTCAACTTCCGGTATTTCCGGACGTGCCGCCATATTGAAAATATTTTTAATCGATAGATCTCGTTGTGAAACAGTAATGTTCAAAAAATCTCCGATCTAGATATTATGGTTCTCTACTTGTTCTCTAGAAACTTCTAATGCACGATCAGCCTGGGACACCCTGTATAATGGACTTATATTTTTTTTTGTTTTATGGCTACGGAACTCTGAATCCAACTTTACGTTTTCAAAAAGAGATTAAGAACTAATATGTTTTAAATACTATGTAAAAGCAACACATAAAGTTAGTGCTCAAACTCTATAACAATCCATTGTTCTGGCCCCTATAGTAAATTTTAAAGATACATAAAAATACTTAAAGACTGTTTTAACTTTATTAAAAGAGAACCAATTTTATTGCTCTCCCAGATATTAAAAGCAAACTCTCTGTGAGTAATTACTTTCATCGTTTGTGTAATTTCAGCTTGAACTATTTTTTGGTTTCATTGAAGGTTTAGTATTTGTTATTAACAGTTTTTGAGTACGAAATTATGTTTATATTTTCCATAATTATGTTCAACTGATTAAGACAAAGTTTCCAATCAATAGATGTTTAAAACTATATAAATAAAATCTACAAATATACTGCCAAAAGAAAAACTTAAGGAGGGTAACATAAATATGTAAATATTGATTGAAAAATGGCGTATAGTTCTGACAATATATGCTTTTGTGTATGTGTGTACATGAAAAGTATAAGATGGACATGTAAAATATTGTTGAATATAATTTTTTGTTTCGAAAAAGGACAAAGGACGCTGAAGTATGTCTCCGTCTTTCGTCTTTGACAAGTTTGTTACTGTCCATCTTAAATTTGATATCATAGACTATAAACACAAGTGTTTTATATTATAGAATACCATTAATACATATATATCATAGATGTATACAGAGGTTGTATATAAAGTGGTCGAATGAAACCAAAAGCAACATTTAGATAAAATATGTAATATATTCATGTTTTTTGAATCGACTTGTCTGCAAAAAAAGTAACTGTTGTTTCATTAACGTTTAAAGAGTTTATTTTAACTTTATGTACACGTACACACCACAGGGTTGAACTGAAATAGGTTATAAAACTGAAAATCATTGCATTAGATGTTATTTTTCTCTATCTGCGCCAAAGTATTTCTCAAAAAGGTCTAATTTAAGCAATATAACTTTTAATCGCCAACTTCTTGTTGATTTTGCTCTAAATTGTCTTACATACGAAGACATCTGTAATTCACAGCTGTTTTCGTATTGTATAATTTGATATGGTCAAAACTACCTTCACGTTTACAGGCTCTGGACGTTAAGGTAATTTTTACACTTAACGCGATGATTCAAAAAATTATATTGCTCGAAGATTCTGTGCGAGTTTAGTTTTGCATTGAAAATAATACAATGTAAATTTAAATCTCTGCAATTCACCATTTTTGCACATAAAAAAGATCGTCTAGAATTAGTTATAGTTAATTATATAATAAATATTATAATGTACTTTCAGATTTGTAAATAATAATACATGTTTATTTAAAAAAAATGTTTTATTGTTTCATCCCTGTATAGAAATACAAAAAAAATAACACAAATTGGATTCTGATTATCTATGGAACTAATAACTGATACCTACTACTTACCTCATAGAGAATATGATACGAATTATAAATAAAATAATATAATAATAACTTTTTAATTTTTCACTGAATTTTTCCCACATTTTTGCTTATATATATGCAACCAGTTAATGATACCTAGCAGTTGTCAAATTTCGGCTTGTTTTGAGGTTATAATTTTTCCTTTCCATAACAGTAAAAATCCGAGCACCGTTTTAAAAGAAAAATACAAAATTATGAAATATATATATTAAAAGGAAATAACATTGACTGACCGAATATGAAGCCTTCTTTGACAACAATATTAGCTACGCTTTTTTTCTTCGTCATTGCTCATTCTATCTGGAGTATGTTTAATGTTTGGAAGGCTCCAGTATGTAGTCCTACTGATATTTGCTTCCATTCTTATTTAAACGACAACCCTCCCTTGGATATGGTAATCTACGTGGACGATAAGTTAGAAAATCCAGTCTTTTATATTAAGGACTTTGACTACAGGAACTCATTTGAAGAGTATGCTTAATGTTTTATATTTGGATTTAATTATTTATATACTATCTATTTTTTAAGAAATATCGAAATTGATATCCCTAGAAAGGTGCGTCGAAATGGGACAATGTACATAAACTTTTTGTTGTTACCAAGTGGTAAGAATAATATGAAGTTGAGAACAAGTGAATTGAAAAGACATGAGAATCGTACAAATATAAGAGGGAGATTAACTGAGTTTGCTGTACCGCAAAGTGCTGCTTTTAATTTATTGAAGAATAACAAAGTTAAACAAGTATATAAACCTGTGACCCATATAAGGTCTAAATATTCAGTTATGATGTGTACTGAAGAATTGCATTTACCACACAAGTATATATCACAATTAGGTAGTTTCTTTTTATCAGTACTGATTATACATTTTTTTTAGAAATATTCCATTTGAGATAGCGAAGGAAATGCGTATAAATAGTAGGTCTAGATTTTTGCCACTTGTCTCACTTGATTTTTTAAGTTTGAGGTTACAGGATTTAGAGGAAGTTACTGAAGATACTCGAAGTGTAACTTTAAAATTTGCTTACAAACCTATATCTTTGGGCAAAATGAGATTTGTTTTACAAATGGAGGCTTCTTTAAAACAATTTTTAACATTGGGATTCTCAGACAAAGATCTAGATGAAGTTAAAGGTGTTTTTGCAGACACTAATTTATATTTATTATCCGCTACAATGATTATAGGAACTGTACATGTAATTCTTAATCACTATATTCAATATTTTTTTAAACAATTTCTAAAATTATTTCTAGGTGTTGTTGGACTTTTTATCATTCAAAAATGATGTTAGTTTTTGGAAGTCACAAACATCCATGGCTGGATTATCTACAAGAACTGTATTATGGAGGGCATTTTCTCAGGGAGTTGTATTTTTATTTCTTCTTGATGAAGGCACATCATTGTTGGTTCTTATACCTGCTGGAATTGCAACTTTGATTGAGGTAAAGTTTATTTCATTTAATTTTCTTACTGGAATATGAAGTAACATATTGTATTGAAGGTATGGAAAGTATCTAAAGTATGTAAAACAAATGTGTCAATTTCATTAAGAGGCTTTAAGTTCAATCATGACAATACAGAATCTGCTGCTGAAGCTGAAACCAAAAAATATGACAAAGAATGCATGAAATATTTAAGTTATTTACTTTATCCGTTATGTGTGGCAGCTGCTATATACTCCTTACTGTACCAACCACATAAAAGGTATACAACTTGCTGTTTTGAGATTATGAGTAGATAATAACATATTTAATTTTTGTTTTAAGCTGGTATTCGTGGACACTGAACAGTTTAGTAAATGGAGTTTATGCTTTTGGATTTCTTTTTATGCTTCCACAATTGTTTATCAACTACAGGCTTAAGTCTGTGGCTGCACTTCCTTGGAGAGCCTTTACATATAGAGCATTCAACACATTTATTGATGATATATTTGCATTTATAATAACGATGCCTACAGCTCACAGAGTTGCTTGCTTTAGGGATGATGTCATTTTTCTAATTTATTTGTATCAAAGATGGTATTTGTAGTTGTGGTATTTTGTATATATTTTTTTGTATTTGAATTTTTGTAGGTTGTATCCCGTGGATAATTCAAGAACTGATGATATTAGCGGAGAAGTTATATCAGAGAAGAACAGCAACAGTGCTAAAGCCAAAAACAAGAAAGAAAAATAAGAGATTAAAATTATTTTAGAGTTTATTTTTTTATTTATGTTATTAATAGTATATTTTTAATTTATTAGATTATTTTTAAAATAATATTTCAGATTTTTATATTTTTCCCGTTTGTATCTGTAATCACTCTTAATACATTCCATTGGTATACATGGTATTTACATAAAAAAATATAGATGTAACTGTGTTATATGTTCATATATATAACTGGATTATATGTTCTTTATTTGTAATTTATTAGATTATTTTTTTAAAGTAATATTATATTATTTCTTTTAATATTGCATTATTTCTCTCATTTAAATTATATCTGTAATCGCTCTTAGTACATTCCATTGGTATATATACATGATAGTATTTACATAAAAATATAGATGTAACTTTGTTATATGTTCCATAAATGGATTATATATGTTCTTTATTTGTATAATTTATTAGATTATTTTTAAAATAATATTACATATTTTTATATTTCTCTCATTTAAATTATATCTGTAATTGCTCTTAGTACATTCCATTGATACACATAATATTTACATAAAAAATACATATGTAACTGGATTATATGTTCATATATATATAAATGGATGATATGTTCTTTAAAACTTAACACAATTTGTTTTCCTTCCTTAACATTATTTTATTGTTCATTGATTAATTTAGAATCACTCTAGGATCTTTATCTATGCCATCTATGCTTTAGTATTTCTCTAGGGGGTGATCACAGAACAGATGGGGGTGATTGTTAACTTGAACCATTTGAACTACTATTAGTGCTGGGTAAAGTTTTATCACGTTTTATTCATAATCTAAGGGCAAGAGTAAAGTTTATTTATATATATCTTAGAATCATCGATATTTTTTGATGAGATTCTGAGTATCAAAGTTTATGCAAAGAAATGGTCCGATTTCCTTTTTTAATTTTTAAGAATTTATTACTAAAAATCTTCGTTTCTCAAAAGCCAAAGATAATTATATATTTATAGGCAACCAATAAAACTCTGCAGCTTGTTGCGCCATCTTATGGAAATTATCATTGAATAAAATAATAAGATTGGATTGGAATTTTTTATTAAATAAATCAAAATTTTATACAATTTTTAGAATTACCGATATTTTATTGTGCAATAAATACCGGTTATAATAATTATCTTACTCTTATTCTTTGCTATAAATATATATAGGCGTTCTCGCTATTATCTTAATTTATATCTATGGCCTAGCTGCTTCAGCCGCCATTTTGTCAGAATTGCCAAGAATTGGCGAGAGTTTTATAATTGTTTGTCTGGCTCCTGCACCAGAAATTGTGTTTCTCCTTATTTTAAATCCACCAAATTGTGCACCAAATTCTTACATTCAAATTCAGTGCAACAAGTGTTTCAAACGTATTTATTTTTCCTACTAGTCTACATTTTTCTTTATTAATAAACTAAAAGGAATCCATTGACCATCTGGTCAAATAAAACAATCACTACGACCTAAAATTAGGTAAGTTTTATATTTTATTTCCGTATAATACGTATATTTATATTTATTTTTGTAGTATAGTTACCGACTTTAATTTTCAAAATGAGTTTTGGTAATGATAAGAAACCTTCAATTATCCAACAAATTATTATCTATAATAAACCGAATATAAAACATTCTGTTTTGGATGGAAATATATTAGGGGAAAACGGTGACATTATAATATCCCACATAAAAAAATCGAAAGATGAAGATGGATATTCGTCTGATTCTTCTTCTGAGGGTGATCTTCTTATCCAGGAATATGAAATTAAACGAGAAGCTGTGGACGAGACTGCATCGTCGTCATATTTTAAGATTGAGCCAGCTGATACGACAATTCCAATTGATGAATCGAATAATATAATATATGAATCTGAATCTAACAGTCAGAACTTATTGATGTTGGATGAGCCTGTAAGTGAAAATGAACGTCCAATGTTAAATTCTCCAGATGTTTTTAATGGACCATTAGATGATTCTGCAAATATAAATGATAAATCTCCAGAATTAAATGCTCCAGAAGTTTTTAAAAGACCTAGAGGTCGGCCAAGGAAAACTAGTCTTATACCAAGGGAAGATATTGTAGAAAGCCCTGCTGTAAAGAGGCCTAGAGGCCGACCAAAAAAGGTTATAAGCAACATTGAAGAAAATCCTCCTACAACATCTACTTTACAGGAAAGAATCAGTAATTTAGAAGTGCCTAAAAAACGGGGACGTCCAAGAAAGACTTTCTCTTCATCAGATAATTTAACAAATTTATTAGATGATGCCCAAGAACATGTTAGTAATTTAAAACAGGTTGACGATGAACTTGATTTTATGTTTAAAAAATCTGCAGTAGAAGCTAGCAATGAAGATGATGATTATGAGGAAGGTAAGAATTGCTTGATTTTTTTTCAATTTATTAAATAATTTCACATGCTTTTTATTAATGTAGGTATTTCTAATAATTAATGGTAATTTGTTGTAGAATTTGATTCTGATGATGATAGTCGCAAAGAATGGGTGCCCGAAGAGTATGTTGAATATAAGCAAAAGCATTTATTGAAGGATGTTAAAAAGAAATATTTATGCAAGTTCTGCTCTAAGGAATTTCCAAGTTATTATACAATGAGAAAACACAGACTTTTTGATCATAATGATCTTATCAAAGAGAGAGCAGCAGGAAAACCAGTAAAAGATGAACAAGAAGAATCAACTGGTATGGAAGTGTTCTCTGCTTCAGGATTTTTTTTTAATCCATATACACAAATTTTAGATGATGATACCAACCATACAGATACGGAAAGTTTGGCAGAATGGATGCCTGACGATTATGCAGAGTATAAGCTGAAACATTCAGTGGATAAAAAGAAAACCATTAATTGGTTTACTTGTAAAATTTGTTTACATTTATTTCCAACTCATTATCAGTTAACGAAGCACAAGGTGAGATTTTTTTATGACAAAGAGTACATTTTACATATTTTTTATTAAATATAGGTCAGTCATATGAATAAGGAAACTCCTTATAAGTGCAACCATTGTGATGATAGTTTTAAAGGTATTGATGAACTTATGGCACATCTTAGAATACACCGAGGTGAGTATCATTAGAAGGTTTTTTATTCTAAATTTTTTTATTAAAATTTTGATTTTGACGATTTAATAATAGTAATAACGATAATTGCCTTTATTGAGAAAAAGAACAAATACATACACATAGAAGAAGAGATTAAATACTAAAATTTCAGTGCCTTGACCCAGGGCAGTCATTACATAATTAACTAATAATTCAAAAATTTATTTTAAAATTTCAGGCAAAGACCCATATCAGTGCAAAAAATGTGATAAAGGATTTATCTCCAAAAAAGAACTGGATGAGCATTTTCAAATTCACGTCTTACAGAAGCCAGCCATACCAAAAAAGTAGGTAGATTTTTATAGCTGATAGATTTATTTTGATTCTCGGCAGTCTAGCATATAGGCTTGGTGCATTCTCTGCCGGTGCTGCCACCATCGGAGAATATCGTAAACAACCGGCATATACAAATACACGGATTTAAATAGCGAGCATACGAAAAATTTATTAATACAGGGTCGTATACCTTTATGGTACCTAGGGTATAGAACCAATATAGTTTTGTCTGGCTTTCCACTTATTATACAGGGTGGTCCGAACTGTATTCCGGAAACTTCGGCAGCATATTCTGTAGATAAAAATAGGTAAAAAAGTTTGAATAAATGTATGTCCGAAAACGCCTAGTTTCGCAGATACAGGGTGTAGAAGTTTCATTTTTATTTCAATTTTTTCCAAATTATTTCTGAAGCAACGTCAATATTTGGATGAAAATTAGTGTCTGCGTGTTTTTTGACATGAAAAATTTGAGTTTGATGTCAATATGACTCCTATTTGTAGGGGGCGCCACCTACATATGTTTTAACTGTTTTGTAGAGTAATAACTTTTTGTCCATACCTGTATAAAACTACAGAGTGAAAAAATATACATTTCCGTGACGTTTTACGTAAAAAATGTCTCTAGGTAAAAACCGCTACGAGCGACCGTTCTCTAGATAGAATCGAAATAGTCAATACATGTCATTATTGACAAAAAATAAACACGTTGTGTAGATAGTTATTTGACTGAAATAATAAATTTGTGAAATTTTTATTTTTTTAAATCAATCATAATTTTTTCTGCGAAAGAATGATGATTTATACAGGCAATTTTATTAACTTGTAACTAATGTCTTGTTTTTTGAATTAATATATTTTTTTTAGAAAATATGCGATAATTGTTTTGAGTAGTTTACTTATATATTATGTCAAAGCCACGATTTTAATATTATTTCAATGCGATCGACATCGGAACACTGTGAAATACATAGCGAGAACTTTTGATTTCTGCCGTATCGAGCGCTGAGGTCGGAATTTTTAAAATGAACTGAAATGCACCAAGCCTATAAACATTTTTTATTTTTTTAGAGTGATTTTTTATGTTGTCTAAATAGCATATTATACCCATTAGGGTGCACCAAAAAAAATATATTTTTTCTTTTTAGTTACGTGAAAATATCGTTCAGGATGGTGAACGAAAAATTCTGGTAAAGTTTAAGCTTTTAATGTTAATATTAAGACGTGCTTCATCGTGATTTTCTATTTCCCATTTAAATAACATGGGGAAACAATTTTTTTTCTTTGGAATTGTATTACGTTTTAACACACAAATTAGCGTTCTGTAAAAATCAATACATATTCTAGTAGGTCAAAATCAATACATATTCTATTAAACGGTCTTCAAAAAAAGTCTGATATGAATTTTCATCTTATCAACTCGTTTGAAAGTTATTGAAGGTTAAAGTTCACTTCAAATCGTATATGATATCTTCCACAATTTTTTATATTTTTTTCACGGAATAATGGCTCAAAAACATAAAATATCATATTTTCTGTTTTTGATCCATTATTTCAAGACAAAATATGATATTTTATGTTTATGAGCCAATATTTCGTGATAAAATATAAAAAACTAATTGAAGCCTGGCACGACATCAGGCAAAAAAAAAAATTATTTTTTGTTTAATTAAATGAATAACAAAAAATCCGGCGACGACAGTTTTTAGAAGAGTCAATTAGCTATCTTTGAGTAAAAAAAAGCAACTTTCTAGAGCAAGTCGTGACTTCAGTAGAGACGGCACAGATAAACATTAGCATTTTCTATACAGATTGTTAACTGGACAGTTACTTATAGGGGAACAGAAAACTTTATCAGAATTTTTTTTCATCATCCTGAACGATATTTTCACGGTAGAGGTGTGTAGTTCGTGATCGACCCTGGAATGAAAGGAACTAGTTCCCGGTTTCTTAAAAAACTAGTTCCTCAAGATCTATTCCGGGATTGAGACTGTGATTGATATCTAATAATATGCCCCGGCGACGGATCGTAGCCCGATGCTGGACTTGAGTGGAGAGTGCCAGCCGTATGTTACCTGTCTCGGACCGAATGGACTGAGAGGAACTAGATGAACTAATTAGAAGACTAGTTTACGGGAATCTATTCAGTCTGCCGATCCGGGAGATAATACAAGGCGACGACATGGATTGTCTATTGCCACAACTGGCGTAATTACCACAGAAAATTGTCGTGGATACTATTTTTGATTTTTAGTTTGTTCTTTGAATATTTTATGGGAATGTTTCACTCTAGGTCCTTAAAATTAAGAAATATCTTATAAAACGAAGTAGATATTCTGAATTTTTAGCTTGAAGTGAGAAAAAATGCAATTTTACGTAAAATTTTCGCATTATTTGCTCCAATTGATTTGTGATAACGTTTTTTAAATTCTGAACAGCAAGTTACAATCCATATTAAAAAAGAAATAGTTTTTTTAAAAAAGAAATAGGAAACAATTTGCGGACACATTAAAAGAAGAAACTTGGGAGGAAATATATCAGATACCAACATCTGGATGTCAACGAACAATGGAAAATTTTTGGCAATACCTTGCACCGCATTTTTGATCAACACTTTCCACATAAACCTGTGTATAAAACAAGAGAGAATACATTAATATACAAAAGTAAGTAAATAACAGAATGTAAAGAGAGATTAGACACACTACTAATGCTATCAAGATATAACGATCAATCACACGATCAATATAAAGATATTTACAGAGCCACAAAGAAAGAATATGACAGATTATTAGTTAAGGAAAAAGCTAACAAGTATGACGCAAGAGTGAAATCATCTGATAACAAAATGAAGTGTTTATGGTCAATCTGCAAGGAAACAACTGGTTATAATTCCCCAAAGGATGATTGTTTTATAGATCAAGACCCATTGGCTCTAGAAAATGAATTCAACAATCACTTAATCAGTGTTGTGCCAAATATATTGTCCAGTATTAGGGAAGTACCATTCATGTGTAACATAAGTGAGAACAATGAGTTAATGCGACTGAAATCTGAATATCGAGGAAATTCAAAAAATTGGTCAAAGTCTAAAAAATAAACATAGCAGCAGTGTGGACGAGGTTCCAACGTCTATAGTAAAATTCTGTTTGAAATCTGTTGATGATATCTTGTGCTATATCATTAACAATTCGCTAAAATATGGTATCTTCTCAGACAGGCTGAAGTTGGCATTTATTAAACCAATCTACAAAAAAGGAGATCACTCCGATTTGAATAATTATAGACCAATTAGCTTACAGCCAAGCTTTTCAAAAGTATTTGAAACAATAGTTGCAAACAGAATATTAACTTTCATGAATAGTTGTAAACTGTTTCAGAATATACAAGATGGGTATTTGAAGGAGAAAGGTACCATTACTGCATTGTTCGATTTCACTACATCAATAATACAACATCTGGAAAATAAAGATCTGGCAATGGGTATATTTCTTGATTTATCGAAAGCATATGACTCTTTAGACCACCATTTACTACTAATAAAACTCGAAAAATATGGAATAAGAGGTCCAGCACTCAAATGGATTACATCATACTTGACAAATAGAGAACAACAAGTTATTGTGAGAAAAGACGAAAAGATTAGAAAGTCCAGTATACACATTAGTATACCTCAAGGCAGTATCATTGGGCCACTACTTTTTATCATCTACTTAAACGATATTAGTCAAACAACAAGAAATGCAAATTTTAGCCTTACATGCTATATGCAGATGCCACTAATATACTTACTCATGGAACAACACGAGATATTCTGTAGGAGAATGGCAGTAAGGCTTTCATGAGAGTAGAGGAATGGTTTGAGGCAAATAGACTAATGCTAAATAAAGAAAAAACTAATACACTATTTTTTCGAACACAACAGAAGAAAATTGAATTAGCGAGCAATTTGAAAATTGGAGAAATGGATGTCAGCCTTGGTGGTGAATGCAGATTTCTTGGTATTTACATAGACGAGCACTTAAAGTGGACCCAACATATTTATAAGCTATGCTTGAGACTTGGCACAATTTCTTACGGTCTGAGAATTGTGTCAAGTTATGTGAACCCAGACTCAATGAAGACACTATACTGTGGAAATTTTGAGGCACTGCTGAGATATGGAATTATTCTCTGGGGATCAAATTCAGAAACTGCAGAAATTTTTGATTCAGAAAAGAATTATAAGACTTATAAAGAAACTTCAGTACAGAGAAAGCTGTCGAGGACACTTTAAATCTTTCGGAATTATGACGCTTCCAGCTCTTTATATATATGAGTGTTTAATATTCATCCTTAAACATAAGTCCCTAGTTGAAATGGAAAAATCTCATGAATACCAAACAAGATCCAGTGATGCCCAGTTCCCCTCACATCGTCTCACCCTGACTGAAAAAAATCCAGTATACATGTGTGTAAAGTTTTACAATAGCCTCCCTGAAGACATAAGAGCAATCGAAAGTCAAGAAACCTATAAGAAATCCTTGAAAAAACTCTTAATTGAACTGGAACCCTACTCAATCAAGGAATTCTTAATATAAAAGTCTCTTCACCGCTGACAATATTTCAATATGTCTATATATTTGTAATTTTATTGTACATATTTAGATCATTTTTGAAATAAATATTGTAATTATTATTATTTATTATTATTCCTCTGGATGAACTAGAACAAAGGAAACCAAACCAAACCTCTATTTCACGGTAACTAAAAAGAAAAAAAAATATTTTTTTTGTGCACCTTAATGCCAACACTACCAACCGTCACCGAATTACAATTAAAATTTTGATTAAACCTTATCGAATATTTCAGCTTTCGTTGTTCGATATGTTCGAAAGAATTCGCCAAGCTGTGCGACATCGAACGACACACCCGAGTCCATACCGGAGAAAAGCCGAGCGAGTGCAAGATCTGTCACAAGCGTTTCCAGCAGAGCCACAATCTCAGCAAGCACTTGCTCATTCATTTGCACGTGAAACCGTTCCAGTGCGAAATATGCAACAAGAAGTTCGGTCGCATCGACGTACTCAACAGACATTTGCTGACGCACTCTATGGAGAAACCGTTCAAATGCGACGAGTGCGGAAAAGGCTTCATCAGAATGGCGCAGCTAAGAGATCATACCCGAAAGCACCATCCGTCAAAGACGGAGCAAGTAGTGGAAGAAGTGGTAGTGGAAGAAGTGGAAGCAGTTGATGATAGTTAGGCGTTCGGCTATCGTTTAATTTATTATGGATGATTTTTTGTATTTGTAAAATTAATTTTTAGGTTTAGCGTACATACAGTATGTCCCCGGATTGTCTTTACAAGAGGAAAACCTTTTTTCCTATTGACATTTTGAGAAAAATGTATTCTTTATAAAAAAAAATTTTTGTTCTGAAATGGCTAATCCCCTACTCAACTTTCCCAAATTTCCATACCGTTTTAATTAGAAGACCGAGAAAATTAAGAAAAACATGAAAATGTGGTTGATTTTTTTCGTATGAAGTCCTATAATTCAAAACGCGTTTCTAAGGTAATATAATTTCGTTTTCGTCCATTGGTAGATTGCTTTTTGGATTGCTTTTAATAGACATTTAATTAACGTCATATTTTTTGCTGTTTTAAAATGTTAAAAAAACACAAAATTGTATAGTTCAACGCTACGGAAAGGATGATAATATAGTTATCGGAAACTGTGATACTTTAACAACAGCAAACAATATGACGTTAATGAAAATTAATAATAACCATCTATCAAAGAATGAAACCGAAATTATATTACCATAAAAACGCCTTTTCGTTTTTCATGACTTAAAAAATCAGCCATATTTTCATGTTTTTCTTAATTTTCTCTAAAACGGTATGGAAAAAAGCGGGATTAATCAATCATTTTAGAACAACCAAAATTTTTTTATGAAGAGTGCATTTTCCTCTAAACGTCAATAATAAAAAAGTTTTTCCTCTTTTAAAGACAATCCGGGGGTATACTGTAGAAATGGGAAAGGTAGCATAAAATCGATAAAAACGGCGTCAGAGTCAATTGCTTGGCTTGTAAAATTATACAGGGTGAGTCTTAAATAAGTGCAAATATTTTTAGGGCTGAGGGCTGGTAGATCTCCATAAAAGAAACATTTCCTCTTTACCGTTTTTCAAATAAGTCCAAAATAACCAAGCTATTTCATTTTAAAAATTAAAAAAAAATATTTTTTGCTTAAATTTTGAGAACCACTGGATTTTTTATCGGTTTACTTTCTTGCAAATTTAATCTATGTACTACATATATTGCCATATTATCAAAATTTTATGTTTTTTAACTTGAAATTAAAAAAATCAATTTTTTTTCAAAAAAATCAAAATTTTCAATTTTTTTCGCGAAAAAACCCCATGGTGTTTCCGGGGTCAATTGTTCAAATTTGGCATGCGTATTCAGCATATGCAGATCTTTAAAAAACTATTTACAATTTCACTGTAAAATTAACAGGGGAGCCAGAGTCTGGACATGTCAACATTTGCATAGGATTTCCTGTTTCCAACGACGATGCACCACCCGGTATATTGGGCCTGATGAATAAAGAGAAGCAATTGCTTTTTCTATAGAACTATCTTGGTTGTTTACAAATTGTATAAGTCTATTTCAAGAAATTTAAGTAAAAGCATTTGCTTAACTTTTATTCATAAGACCCATTGGGTTTTGTTAAGTTACATTAAACTGACGGTGTTACTAGAGATGGTGTTATTTTGCCGATATATTGACAACTATCGATAGTTGTCGATATATCAAATAACAAACAGTAGATGGCTTATACCTATTGATATCTATAAATATATCGTCAACTGTCAATGAATTGGTAACATTTCAATAAATATCGGTATATATTTCACTTATCGATAGTTATCCATAAACCGATAACTATCGGTAACTAAAATATATTGATAAGTAAAATGTAACTTAGCCAATCCCTACTATTTTTGTGATTATGAAGATAGGATAGTTTTCTTTAAATAGAAAAATATCTGACAAATGAGCGACAGATTATGTCATATTTACCTTTATGTTTATATATACATTTATACTTAAGCGATACTGAGTATATAATATAATAATATATACATATCGAGTATATATAGAGAAAAAAGTTATTAGTTTTAATAGATTCTTATTAAAGGATCATTTGAGTTTTTGACTTTAATATTTTATTATACACCTATATTTTTGTAATATAGAACTAAATATTATTATGAACCACTTTATTTCATATTTAACTCTAAGTCTATTGATTTTTAATAAATTGTAAAAATTAGATCACTGTGTAGTTATATACAGGGTGTCAAAAAAACTATTTTTTTGGCACCCTGTATACTTATTTTGAGAGTGAAATATGTAAAAAGACATTGGCTATGTGGTACTAATTTTTTGTTTGAGATTGTTATTTTATTTTGTTACTAGGATTACAGTTGAGGGTTGGAACCTTTGGTGTTACACAGCAAAATAAAAACACTAAAACACCACAATACACCAAAACACTTTTACTTTTACACTGGACGCACGTTTCGCTAACCATGTTAGCATCATCAGCAGATCAATGAAGTTTATAATCATCTGCTGATGATGCTAACATGGTTACCGAAACGTGCGTCCGGTGTAAAAGTAAAAGTGTTTTTGGTGTATTGTGGTGTTTTAGTGTTTTTATTTTGTTGTTACTAGGAGAAAATTTTAAGTTTTCCGAAATGAACGATGAATACCACAGTCGCACACTTACATATTTCATTCAGCATAAAAAATATTGATAATGTACATATTTTATGAACATGCTGTTGTGGTGTACAATAACAAACAACCATTTTTTACTTTATTATTACCTTTTTTATTTTTGTTTGATGAGTACTTCGTGGTATACAATAACAACCAATTTTCTTGTATTATGCATTTTCATTTTTTGTTTTATTTCATGAATAATAATACTTTTAGAAATTAAGAGTATTATTTAACTAAAGATCTAAATAAAAATGAATTGCAAAAACGTTTTATTGATTATTAACCCTCCTATTTTAAATCCGACTTTTTTTGTAATAAAAGTATAGGATAAATCGTGATTTTATTTCATTCTCTTTGAATTTTTAGCCGACCATACCAACAGGTATGGTAGGCTATTAAGATCGGTAAAAATTTTTTTTTTATTTTCACTCAAAATGAGTTATTTGGGCCATAAATGACCTAAATACAAAATATTTTCATGGTGTCTGTATGTAACACGATAACTCAAAAACCGCTAAACCGATTTTAACCAAATTTGGCACAAAAGTACTGTGGCACCCGAGAATCTGGCCATTAGTTTTTGGTGGGGGTGGGGGATGGTAAGGGGGTATGGGAGGGGGTTAAAAATTTTTAAAAATCGGAACTCCAAAATTAGAGTAGCTAGCGAAACGCGGTTTTCAATTTAAGATTAGGAATAATATTTGCAACAAAATTTGTAATAACATCAAAATCAGTCAAAGTCGCAGTTTTTGAGATAAAAAAAATATGAAATATTGTTTAAAACATTATAACTCAGAAACAAAACAGCTAGCAAAACGGGGTTTTCACTTTTATGTACGGAAAATCTAAAAATAGGGCTAAAAATGAAAAAATCACTTAAAATTTGACCAAACACAATTGTCAATGACATGTCAAAATTCTTTTTGTTATTAGGTAGCTTTTAGATAGGTATGCTGAAGAAATTCCGCATATACTTTCTCAAACGCATTAACAAATTCTCCATTTGTTACGAACTTTTTGGCCATCTCTGTATAAATTAGTTCAAATGTACCACATAAGTTCTCAATTGTAGTTCGATATATCCTTATAAAAAGGATATATCTAAAGTTTCCCATTATTGTATGTCTAATTTGAGGAGTTTTTGAGAAACATGTCTAGTAGGGTTTAATAAAAAAAAGATTTATTTTTATTAATTTATTAATACTATCTTTACAGTTTCCGTTATATACTAATATAGTAGAGTGACTATTCATATTAATTAAACAACAGATAACTCTAATACAGCAATGCAGTCTCAAGATAAGTTTAGTAATCTTGAACTGCATAAGCCCTGTGTTAAAGAATATGCGGTAGTTCAAATGTACCGCAAGAACTTTTACTTTATCAAATCAAAAACATTTGCATTTCGAATTATCTTGATACAAAATAGAAAAATAGAGAAAGTGTGTTACTGCACATTACACGAAAAGTGTTAAATAAATATTTTATTGGACAGAGTGTTTTAAAAACATTGGGCAATCTTATGTATAATTACTCAAAAATATTTTTAAAAGACTCTGTATTTATTAACTGTAGTAAAATCACATATAATAAAGATAACAAATTGACCAAGTTAATACAACCTTCAAGTATATGCAATAGATATTGTGTGTATAACATAGACATTGAGAATTTAAAATATAATATTATGTAGTGCAATTTTATCACAAGACTTTATCAATGTATTTTATGAAAACTTAAAAAAGTCAAATTCAATTACGAATGTAGAAATAGATTTTCCCAAAAAAATCAAAAATTAAATTAAAAAAATATAATTTAAACTATTTTGAACGAAATATAATGGCCTAATGGTTTATCATATCGTCGAAACATGAATACACATACATTCTCTTCGTCCATCCTTTTCGCATTCATTCCAGCAATCAGTAACAAATATTTACATAAAAAACTTTTTTTAACATTGTAGAAAATATTTTGTTCATATTTTCTTTAAACCAAATAGTCCAATTTTTACCGTGTATGCATCTCAGTCGATTTTAACAGTAGAGTAAATTTTCCTTACGAATACGCTGGTACCTATGTAGCCAACGGTACCGCATATGATACCTAGGACACCGCTGAACAGGGCCATGTATCCGAAGTAAAATGTTGTTTGGAACAATCCGTACATCCTGCAAAAAAATATATAATTAACCGTCAAAGAGAAAGCACCAAATGAATGTTAATGAACAAATACTAAATGCTCATTTGCAAACATTCATGCAATTATCCAAAGCCAGCGGCGAAGCTTCCATTGATGCGGGTGATGCGTCGCATCACTTCAAAATATTGTAATACGTTTTTATTTAAAAAAGTCACTGAGATCTATAATAAATTAAAATTCTCAGTAAATTCATTCAAATAATTAAATTCAATTTCAATTATTTAATGTGTGTATTGGTCGAGCTTTATAGATAACGCTAGACCTACGCTAAACGCTAAAAATATATCGACAGCGCGATGATGCGACTGTCCTCGCTATTTCTTGAACGCCGCCGAACGCCGGTATTTATTAACTGTAGTAAAGCGAGCCGGGGTCAGCGAACTTTCCGGCTGCGATTATACCTCTCCCGTTTCCTGTTTAATCAGTGGGTGATGCGGTTTTTTAAACACATCTCGTTCGCGGTATATAATGAAAAATACCGTCGCGTGTCGCGATGACCGATTCTGAGTGCTGCTGCGAAATAATTTTGCAATCATCCTATATTCAGAAAAATTAAAAGCTATTGAAGAAGGACCTCTAAAGCATATTTTGAATATTAATAATAAATTAAAATCCTGTATTAAAAGTGAACACTGGTTATGTGGTTGGAAGGCACCCAAACTTTTTCTACTATTTTATCCAACAGATACGTTCACAGCTCACAGCTTCGTTTTTTTACCTAAATTTAGTTCTTTTTTTAAACTGGTTAGATTATTTTTTTAACCTGTTAATTTTTTTGTATATTTTAACTCTTCAACTTTTAAGATTTTATTAAAAAAAAAGAAAATAACTTTATTGTGTTGGTAAAATGTTAATTGCAGTCTACCTACATTACATCCGCTTGTATTGACGCCATGCTACGCCGCTGTTTGGGTTAGTTAAGGCGGTTAGTTATTTAGGTAAGTTATAGGAGTGTGCCACTCTTGAAAAACACCCGGTATAATATAGGCTTGGTGCATTTCAGTTGATTTCAACAAATTCCGACCGTAGCGCTTCAACGGCAAAAATGTGAAATTATCAATAGCCGCCGTCATGTTGATCGCATTAAAATAATATTAAAATCGTTGTTTGAATCAGTTCAATAACTCAACCTTTCCTGGATATTCAACTCTCCCGAAACAACATTTTATTTATAGCTTCATAGTTTCTCAAACCGATCTGATCAAAAGCAAAAATAGATTCAAGCAGTTCGACGAAACAAGTAAGTAAACAAAGGGCTTGTTACATAATCAAAGAATTAAATAGACATATACTATGAGAGGATAAAATATAATTTGCAATATTAATGGTATAGTTTTTTAATCAACAATTTTTTATGAACATCTTCTAAAATTATAATTGTTTCTTAATATATAAAAATATCGTTATAGCCGAAATAGCCCCACTAGCAAATTATGCCCCACTAGCAAAACCGGTAGTTAAAAGTATGTTCGCTACCGTAGTTGAACTCATCTAAAAAGCTTTTTTAGCTGGTATAATAAATTATAATACAAGTTAGACCTTCTGAAGATATAAAAATATTTACTTCTTATTTTTAGAATTTTCACAAATTATTATTCCTAACACTTTTAAAATACTATATAATAAATTTTTCGTATACTCGGTATTTAAACCCGTGTATTTGTATATATTAGTTGTTCACGATATTCTTCGATGGTGGCAGCACCGGCGGAGAATGCACCAAGCCTATACGTTATAAGTTATACCCCTTGACTGAACAATGAATAAAGAAATATAATACCTAATACTTACTTTGTTTTGAAAAAGAAATAGTAAATTGCGTAGACGTAAACATAGGCAGCGGTAGAGGCGGCCGCCAAATATGAGGTCCATTGCCAGCGATAATCTTCTGCATTCAGTAAGAAGTATGTGCAAACGATCGTGACGCATATCGTAACAATAATCAGTATCAGAAAAACGAGCAGCATAAAACCATAGACATAGTAGATTTTGTAGGCCCAAAACGATGTGAAAATAAAGTACCTAAAAAATTAGAATACATAAAATGCAAAGAATCAGAAATTTTTATTTTTTATAAAACAACAAATAAATTAATGAAAATTCCAATTGTGTTAAGCCGACTACAGACGGCATGGCAAGCCATGGCCAGCGTTTCAGCAAACGTTTGTAGAAGCGTTGGTCTTTGCTTGATATTCGCGCACCGACGACCGTACACACTACATGTTTTATCTTTGCCAGTCTTTTCGAGGCAAGTGAAGGCGAACGTTGTACAAGGGTACAAATAACACAAGAAATGAGGTTTGACTCCGATGATGAAGTAAGAGCAGCGTCTGCTATGTCGTATGTACGGCGATCAAGCCCACTGGCGAGTTTCAACAAGTCCCTTTGATGTGTGTCGAAAATACCGCTTCATAGGCGAACCCTGGCCAGCGCCAACCTTGGCTTTGCTTTGCCATATGTTTTGCATACACACGATGCGCCAACGTTGAAACGAGCGGACACTGGCCAAGGCTTGCCATGCCGTCTGTAGCCGCCTTTAGATATAACCGAAATAATTGAATTTTTATACAGGGTGTCTTAAATAAGTGCAAATATTTTTAGGGGAAGTATATTTCGATTCCAGAAATACGTCTATGAGTTTTCTGTGCAATTTTTTTTAAAAATTCCAATTTTTTTAAATTTTTAGATAATAAACATAATATCTTGATAATATGGCAACATAAATAATATGTTTCTTTTACTGACATCTACCAGCCCTGAAAATATTTGCACTTATTTAAGACTCATCCTGTATAAAAAGGCAACTGTTTAAAAAATAACTATAATAATGTCAGTATTAATTTTATGGTTATAACAAATAATTTAAATGTGATAATAACAACAAAACAATAGAAAAAGAACGACGTCATAATGACCAATCAAATGGATTTCTATCAAACCAACCTCTATATTTATGCCATTTATTAAAAATTGACATAAAAACTTGTCAAAAAATAATGTTATATTGAGTTATTAAAAGTTTTAAGCAAATTTCACATCATTCATCAATTCATTTGATCATCAAATCAATCATTTTTTATAAAGAATAAAAATATTTGACAAACTATAAACTTTTTGACAAATGTCCAAATACCAAGAATACACGATTTTGTTTTGACAATAAAAAATTGTAACTTACATTTCAATAAAAATACTAGCAAAAGGCAAAACACCCCCTAGCAAAATGATCACACCTGGCTCCATAAACCATTTTTTCTCTGGAATTGGTCTTGGCACAGCATTTATTCTAAAATCAATTTATTCATATATTTATGCACAAAACAATTAAAAATAAGTATCATACCTGCATGGATAATCAGGTTGGCCAGCCAAATTCCTGCCCAACACCGTGCCTACCAAAGTGAGTGGCAAAATAACGAAGAGACACAAACAAACCACAGCTATCTGTATAAAAAGTAAATAAATTTTTAAACCTACTTATAAAGGGTTATTCACCACATACGACACGGAGTATTGTAGCTAAACGATTAGATTTTGACAAATTCTAAGTTTTGGGTTCGTTGAAGGACTATTAGAGCTACAATTTAAAAATATTTTTACAAGATACAGAGTGTTCCAAATAAATAAAAAATATTATAGTTGTATTATTTTAAATGGAACACCCTGTATATTATTTTATTTTTAGATTCTATGGTTGAAATAAATGTAAATTTGATTAAATTTTATCACACTTAAACCATACCGTTTTTGAAATATATTCAATTTTGTGAAATTGTAGTGTTAAAATTTTAAGGCTTCATTTCTCCAAGGGTATTAAAGGTTTTAATACTAAATACTTACTGAAGATTATTCATTGATCAGATATTGTGTTGCAATAATAAAAAATATACTACCTTATACAGAGTGTCCAAAAATTTATATTAAATAATTACTAGCTTTAAACGGTAATAACTTTTTTAATTTAAATGGAATACCCTGCATATTTTACGTGAATCAGGTGCACATTTACCATTTTTACCTATCTTTTTAAGTTTTCGTAGAAAATGCATTTTCTTATAATTTAGACCTCAATTTATCAATATACCCATGGAATATTGACATTTTAGATTTTTTTAAAGCAACAAATGTACGAAAAGAAAACAATTTAAATCTTTGTGAAAGAGTATATCAAATATACCAACATTATTTCCGCCCAAAAATTAGTTAATTACATATTTAATTGTTTTAGTTAATAAATTATTCTAAACAACTGTGGATTTGAATCAGAAATTAATATAAGTTATGAAAATGAACGTCTCTTTTGTTATAAATAAGCATTCGTCAAGAAATAAAATAAAATTTATAAGGTGTGACTTTTTACCACACTGGTATACATACAAAATTCATTTTTATAGAAATACACATACAAAATTCAGTTTTTTAGTATTTGAAGCAATTATTATTAAACAACGCAAACACTCAATTAATGTAGTTTGAATACTGGGATCATATTAATTGATTAATTGGTCCTCTTTAACAAATATTTAAACCTTTTTTTTTATTTTTTAAAGAAATAAGCGAATTATATCGACAATATTAGTATCTGTACTCTTTTAAAAATTTGCTAGATCTTTAAAAATAATCTAAAATGTCAATATTCCATGAGTACAGTGATAAATGGGGTCTAAATTACAAGGAAATGCATTTTCTAATAAAACTTGAAGAGATACGTAAAAAACGGTGTAATACAATTAAACTGTGCTTCTGATTCTAGTAAAATATACAGAGTGTTCCATTTAAATTAAGGAATATATTGCCGTTTAAGTAATTATTTAAAATATATTTTTAGACACTCTGTATAAGGAAGTATGATTTTTATTATCGCAACACAAAATTTAGTAAATAGGAAAAATTCAGTACAATATTTGGTTTTAAAAACTTAAATACGCCTAGAGAAACGAAGCATTAAAATTGTTACTGTATTTTTACAAAAACGTAAATATTTCAAAAACGGTAAGATTAAAATGCGGTAAACCTTAAACAAATTTACCTTTATTTTAATCATAGAAACTAAAAATGTAATAATATACAGGGTGCTTTATGTTTTCCAATATTAAAAATTGATTTTTAAAAAATAATTCTAACTCAGAAAACCAAAGATTTATTTATTTTTAACTTATTTAATTAACAATAGAAAAAATTGATATGGTGACGGGCAGAGATTCGTTCTGCACTGCTGTCGATAGATCAATCCGTCGTTCGAAGTCCTATCTTCGCTATTTATAATTAAAGGGTATCTTGCATCAGCATTATTGAACAATGAAGGCTGGATACATAACTGGTGTTCCATTTAAGAAAATATAATTTTGATATTTTTTATTTATTAGGGACACTCTGTATCTTGTAAAAATATTTTTAAATTGTAGCTCTAATAGTCCTTCAACTAACACAAAACTTAAAATTTGTAAAAAATCTCCGTATCGTATGTGGTGAATAACCCTCTTGTTATAAATTTAAAATCTTACCATAGTCTCAAAAGGTATGGCCCTCGACGCGTGATAATAGATGGCAATGAAATTAATGAAAAATGCCGTTCCGCAAACGAACACCGGCAGCATGAATGCAGAAGCTACCATTTGTCGAATCCATAATTTTCCGCCCATACGCGCATACAGTGATCCACCAAAGTACCCGTTGACAGGGGAAGTTACGGCGTAGACAAATATGGCCGTCGACAGCAGCATTCCGCGTCTAAAAAGAAAAAACTTGCTTTTAAACAAGGAAAACTCTAAATACAGATTGTATATTGCATACCAAGACAGAATATTAAAGCGTTGATTGAAAGAATTGGAAAGATACGCAACCTAATGGGCAAATTCGTGACGCTGATTTTATTTCCCCTTCTGTCTCAAGTGCTGTACGGTGGAGCCTCTACTCGTTCTACGGCCAACGCATAAAACATTAATTTTCTCTAATTCGGCTAGCGCAGACATATCGAAGACGATAAGGAACAGAAAGCGACAGTGTTGCCATATTAAAATATGTAATATCTGTAACGTTTGACGAGAATATCTTTGGATAAAAAATCCGCGTTTATGTATTGAAAATTCATTCGTGTTAAACATAGAATAAACAACAAAAATAAAATTTCTTTTATAGGTACTGAATATTTCGTATGATCGAAAAAAGTCGTTTAGTTGGCTCGGAAATGGCGACTATTTACATTTACCATAATATTTTACATATGAAAAAACAGCGATCTTCATCTATAAGCCAACTCTGACGCCGTTCTTTGTTTAATCACATAATATTATATTAAATTGTTTAATGATAGAAAATCCGTATTATTAACGTACTGTACCCAAAATCCGTAAATCTACGGATTAAACCGTAGTTCTGGCAACGCTGTCTCCGACAACCACCCACTCTGTCAACCGAAAGCAGAACTGCGGTACAGTATTCTTTATCCGATGCGCTGTAAACTAAAGCTCAACTAAATCTCCGACAGGTTTTGTGTCACGAAATCGCCCATAAGGTAGCGCATCTTATTTCTTCAATTAGCGATTAAAGTTTTCAGAGTAGTGCCTAAATATACACGGTGGCCTCATTCGCCTCGGTTGATTATACGAAAACGGAACGATGTAGAAACAAAATATTTTATGGATATGTGTGGGAAGGCAATGTGCATAATTTAAAATTATTTTTAAATGTACAGGGTGTGTCAGAACTAAGATCTATACCAAAGTTATATTTTTTCTTATGGAACACCCGGTATTTTATTTCATTTTTGTATTCTTGAACATAAAATAAGGCATTTATTATAAGGCTTTAATATGTTTAAAAGTTTTGGTTTTTGAGATATTTAAAGATATTTAAATATGCATGCTATAATAAAAAAGTTTGTCAACACCTTGTACATTACTTTTCAGAATTAATTCTTGTGCTGACTTTTAAGCCAGAGAGATAAACTTTACTAAAAAATTTGATTGCTTCCGTAAATGTATATAGGGGTATCAAAAATTGCTGGTCTATTTTAAATATTTATTTAAAAATAAAACTTCGGTATTTCAAATGCAACACTATTTTTTTTTAAAAATAAATCAAAGCAAATTTAAATGCTCTTTCAAACTATATTAGGGTTTCCTATACCTATCTGGCTCAGATTTTGAATAAAAAGCGATTTTTCAATAAAATTGTACTCAATACGGCTGGTGTCGCCATGGCAATTTTCTAATGACACTTAGTAGCTATTTTCAAAATCGTCATTAGTTTATGGATTTTATTTAAATTTAAACAGGTTATTTTTATTTAATTTACCTACAATCTACAATAAGGTTAATAAGTATCTATTATTTTCTCAAGAAAAATGAAGCACTACCTGCTGGCGGAAGGAATGGATATGTTATTAGTGATTTTTGTGAGGACAATTGCTTGTTGGCCTGAAGGGTTTATGCTCAAAGATATCCAAACAGGAATTTTCTTGACAAGCGTTCCTTTGAAAAACTACTTTTCATATTTCACAAAGCTGATAGTGTGGTATATGAAAAACCTATTAGGCAGAAACCTGTCGTTGGAATTGAAGAAAATTAATTTGCCTTAATTAGCTCTTTTATAGAAAATCCAATATATCTACAAGTCATCTTAATATAAATCAAAGAACTATTTCTTTATTTTTCTTGATAAAATAATAAATACTTACTTATTAAACTTTGTAGGTACCTAAATTAAATAAAAGCAAACTGTTATAAATTTCAATAAAGTCCATACACTAATGTCGATGTTGAAAATAGCTACTAACTGTCACTAGCAAATTGCCATGGTGACACCAGCCATCTTGATTTCCATTTTATTAAAAAATCGCTTTTTATACAAAATCTGAGCCAGATAGGTATGGGAAACCCTAATATAGTTTGAAAGAGCATCTAAATCTGCATCGACTTATTTAAAAAAATACGTGGTGTTGCATTTGAATTTGAAATAACAAAGTTTTTATGCACAATAAACATTCAAAATAGACCAGCAATTTTTGATACCCCTGTATATATTTGAGAAAGCAATACAATTTTTTAGTAAAGCTTATTTCTCTAGCTTCAAAGTCAGCACATAAATTAATTCTGAAAAGCAATATACATGGTGTTGACAAACTTTTTTATTATAGCATGCATATTTGATTTGATATTTTTTTGAGATATAAATATCTCAAAAACCACAGCATTTAAACATATTAATTCCTCATAATAATAAATGCCTTATTTTATGCCCAAGAATCCAAAAATGAAATAAAATACGAGGTGTTCCATAAGAAAAAATATAACTTTGGTATGGATCTTAGTTCTGACACACCCTGTACATTTGAAAATAATTTTAAATTATGCACATTGCCTCTCTACATATACCCATAAAAAAACTGTTTCTGCATGTTTCCGTTTTCGTATAATCAACCTGCAACCGTGTATATGAGGGTAAAGTGAGAAGTTTGACAACCCTCATATGTTAACCCCAAAAAAATGCACTGTTTTGCATGCGATGCAAATTGGTAAGTAAACAAGATATTCCATTAGAACAAGGCTACTACGACTATCAGTATATTCACATAGAAGAATAGCTCACTCAGTATATAGTTCTCCTAATATGGCAAACACAATAACACTAAGAACTACAGTTGTAAGTTGATGACCTGCACCAATCAAAGCGGAAAATAATAAGGGATTTGAGGCCGGTCTAAATACATCCCCATGTACTTGTTTCCAACCATATTCATCCCCTAAATCTCTTTCCTGAAAAAAAAGAAGTGGTTTAGTTTTTTTCTTATTAAATTCAAATTCATTGATGGCTTGAAATTGTGTAGTATACTTTGCAACCATTATGCCGGGTCCAGACCAAGGCGACAAAAAGTAAACAAGATTTTGAGACAAATTGTCCACACCGCAAGGACAAAAGTACAACAAAGTCAAAAGTTTTGTTGTTGCGAATGAGTTTTATTAACCATGTGTGATTTTACTGGTCGCCTACTGTTGGCTACTGCGCCGACAACTTGTCGTAAAATATACAAACAAAACATAGACACTTTGATCTTTACCGACTCGAGACGGGACATCGAAAAGTCTCCGAATTTTGAAACAAAACAAAAATGAGACAAAAATGTCGCAGAAATGTATTGGAAAAAATGTCTATACCTAAAAAAATCCTTTATGAGTATTTGGCCACTGCACTGCAAGAAAAATCTACTAAATAAAATAGTTATTTTTTGTAAACACTTCTGCGTTAAACCTAAATGAACACTGCTTGTCAGAAGTTATGTTTACAGTAATAATAATTTGCCTAACAAAGAAAAAAATGCTTAACGTTTCGGAAAGTTTATCTCTTTCCGTCGTCGGAAGCAAAAAAATATTATTTAAAATATTTAAATTCAACTATTCGAGAACACTTTACTTTTTTTAAAACAGATACGTCTACAAGAAACCGTTGACGTTCTGTTGAATTTAAATATTTTAAATAGTTTTTTTTATTCTTTGTATTTTTTTTTGCTTCCGACGCACAGTAGGCAATATGTCCAAACCAAGTTGCAAAAAATAACATCCACAGTTAGCATTTATGGCAATAACATTAGATTGGAAACATATTAGTTAAGAGAAAACCACATAAAACCAACAAAAAAACATATTCGGAGTCTCTTTCGAGGGACTGTAAAACGAACTTTGCGCAAAACCTACATTTTCAGTTAATTTGTGTCCAATAACTGCCTTTTTTTTACAATTTTTTAAATAGTATCCGTTGCATTCAAGTGACACAGTATTATAACAATTGAATCGGACGACCTTAGCTTGCTGTCAATAATTATTGGTGAAATTGTCACAACGTGTTTTACGTAGATTCCAGGTTGCGGTAAATTTAATGTTAAGGTAAGTAAAAAAGTATCTTTTATTTTGATTTTTTGGATAAAAACTAGGTAAAGGTCAAAGTAGAACATAATCATTTAAGGTTTTTTTGATAGTGGCATATATTCTATCTTAGAAAAGTTAAGTCAAAAAAATCGCAAAAATTCGTAACAGTAAATTTATTGGAAGCGTTGGAAGGAAAAATGCTATTTAAATATATCATATACGGGGTATTTTATTTAATTTAGGAATACCTGTTATCTCATTGTGACATTACACATGACATCATGTAGAGGATTCTTACGAGTTTTACTGGTAAATATTGTGATGCACGGGTAATATCACTCCCCGACAACTGTAGGTATTCCTAGCTATTATAACAATTTAACAATAATTCATTTAAGAGGGGTGTCCAGATATAATGGATATTTCAAAAAAATCCTGTATGGGTATTTCGCCACTGCTGCAAGAAAATCTACAAAATAAAATAATTATTTTTTGTAAACACTTCTGCGTTAAACCTAAACGGACGCTGCTTGTCAGAAGTTATGTTTACGGTAATACAAATTTGCCTAACAAAGCAAAAAAAATGCTTTTTGCTTTGTTAGGCAAATTTGTAAAAAAAAATGCTTTTTGCTTTGTTAGGCAAATTTGTATTACCAACATAACTTCTGACAAGCAGCGTCCGTTTAGGTTTAACGCAGAAGTGTTTACAAAAAATAATTATTTTATTTTGTAGATTTTCTTGCAGCAGTGGCGAAATACCCATACAGGATTTTTTTGGAAAGATGAATCCGCCACATAGGTATAGACATTTTTTATAATGGATATTACTTTACAAAAAAATGCAATACAGCGAATACATCACATATCAGACTAACTAAACTAATCATGTAGGATTTTCTTTTATACATTGACACCCCCTTTATCTTTTTTATTTGACGTTTCCGAAAACTGTCTCAAATTAAAGTGGTTTTGAATAAATTTGCCAAAAAAGTCTATTTCGCATATACAAAGTGCTTCAAAAAGTCTGGGAGTGGTTCAACTATCTTATTTCAAATTAGGTATACTACATAAAAGAACTTAGGATTTTTAGGAAAAAATAAAAATCAAATAAAGAATTGGGTACTAATTTGAAATAAGAAAGTTGGGCCACGCACAGAATTTCTAAGGCACTCTATATATGCAAAGAAGACTGTTTTGAAAAATGTATTCGAGACTATTAAACTTTTATTCAAGGCACTTTTTTCGAAAACGTCGAATAAAAAAGATACAGAGGATGTCAATATATATAACAAACCCTGTATATGCCGGAGGAGTAATAATTGCTCAATATTTGTCTGTTTCATCTTGGCTCTGCCAAAAATCGTAAAATTTAGTGAAATGTAAAATATTATTACCGCATTTTGGTAGCTGTATTAGTCAAAAGATGAATTTTCCATTTTATGAATCCCCCCCGCCACCCCCAACACTCTCAAGTCAGCCAAAACTAACTGAGTTCACGGGCTACTGGCATAGAATGTTTTTACCAAATTTGAGCGAAATCGTACAAAAAAATAATTTTTGCAACATACTTCTGTATTTTTGCCCACTGTGCGACGACGGAAAGAGATAAACTTTCCAAAACGTTAAGCATTTTTTTCTTTGTTAGGCAAATTTTTATTACTGTAAACATAACTTCTGACAAGCAGTGCCCATTTAGGTTTAACGCCAGAAGTGTTTACAAAAAATAACTATTTTATTTTGTAGATTAGAACTACCCATAAAGGATTTTTTTGGAGAAATGTATTGGATTTGTCGCAATTTTGTCGTAAAACATGAATGTTTCTGTTTTGTCGTTTTTTGTCTGCTTGCTTGGTCTGGACCCGGCATTAGAAGAAAATTTGGCCTGTTGTCCTGTCAAATTTGATATTTAAAATAAAATTGGTAAAAAATGAGTTTGCTGGCAGAATTTCGAAAGAAACTTTATTTGAAAAAGTCGTTTCTTTTTAATTTTATAAAAGTGGATGCATTTTCAGAAATCTAGATAAAAAATAAAATTTTGTAATTTTTAATCAATAGCAGCCGATTCTCGTGGTAAAAGCAAAAATAACAAATAACTGATGGTAGTTCCTTGGCTAGTCAAATATTTACTTAGAGGTAACATATTCAGTTAGAATTATTGAATCTGTTAATAGCTTTTAAAGAAAGATAAATTTAGTTGTAAAAATTAGACAAAAAGTGAGTCAAAGTATGTAAAGTGAATATCTTCCGCATTTAGGGAAATGCTATCATAAAATTCATATTTGTACAGGCTGGAAAATCATTTCACATTTTGTTTCTAATAATAGGAAATTTTAGTTAAGTGTAGACTACTATTTTTAAGCCATTTACAAACTTAAAAAAAAAAGATCTATATATTTTGTTTTTCATTCTAGAAATTTTTCTAAACATAGACACGCAAAAAAAACTTCTTGTGGAAGTGTACCATTTTTTGACATTGATGTCTAAAGTATCTACTAGGTTAAGTTCATACCTATATACGAAAAGTGTTTAGAATATGCAAGAACAAACACGTTTTTATGCAACTGATTTCAGTTATTCTAAAGTCGGAAAAAAGAGAATGATATCCACAGAGAAGTTTTTATCATTTTGTGTATGGGGAGGCTTCTATATACTGGATGTTTTGTGGTTTTTTTATAAGTTATTTCAAGTAAAAAAAACTTCACACACTTTATGTTATAAAATAAAGAAAGGGTCATTTGCTTTTAAACTATATTTGTGTGTTTTAGTTAAAGCCCTCTTCCTATAAATCCTATATTAATATTTAAGTAATGAATTAATTCTATGGATGACAAAGAAACTATTAGAAACATCAATATCAATTACATCATGTATTCCTAACTGTAAAATCATATAGTAAAAGTAGATAGTTAGATGGTACAGTAAAGGTCAAGATAATATTACATAACTAATACCATCCTCTCTTTCAATTGCTAATATTTTAAAACTTTTAATAGAAATAAATCTCAGCTCATATAAAAACACATATTAATATAATTACCATATCATCAATATCATCATCTTTGCTATATCTGGCATAATCTTTCCTTAAAGTTCTCATCAAGATCATTGAAACTAAGCCAACCAGGAAAATAACCATCATAAAACTATTAAAAATACTGAACCAATGTATCTGGAAATTCAAAAATTTTAATGTTATAATAATGGAATATAATCAGTATTATTACTCTGTGTTGGAAAAAATTGTGATCTAAATATTTATCAAATCTATCTTCAAATTTTGTGTCAGTCTTTTTCCATATAACCTCATAAGAAAAATTTAGTTTATTATTCGGTGCTAGTAGAACTTTTTCTTCTGAAGTTAAGTTAACATCGATGATTTGCTTTCCATTGTAACCTTAAAAATGAATATACATGCATATGGAGTTCTATAACTTATTATAAACATACCTATTTCAAATTTCTTGTGTGTCCAAATATAATAATTATTATCTTTAACTTCTCCAACTACACCCCAAATAGGAAGATCATCAATGTACATTTGATACCAGTAATGATTTTTTACTGCATAAACAAAGGCTTTAAACTTTTCTTCTTCTAAATAAACCACACAGTATTGAAACCTGGGAACATTATCTAAAATATACATATATTTATGATATTAAAACATCCAGCTATCAAGATTCAGTGCCATACTTTTAAATTCAATGTCAATACCACTATATTCTAGTTCTACCCCTTGTAGAGCCTCGCTAAGAGTCTCATGATAATGGTCAATGTGTGTCTTAGGGCCTGCACAAAATGGAAGCGAGAAGTAGGCATAAGTCTCTTGCCTATTATGATATGGGCCTACTGTATTCATCCATAGTACTACCTCATCGTTATCTTCATACTAAAAGCAAGTTATGCATGTCTGTACAAATAATCTTTGTAATATATCAAAATACATGAATTTTGTGAGTTTACAATTTATTATAGAGTGACATACTAAAAAGACAACACTCTTTATTTATCCAAAACTAACGAAGTTCAGTGTTGCTATATAATAAATAGCTATAATATAAAAACTGTAAATACAATGGTACTATAGATTTGTTTTGTTCTACTTACTATGTGACTATGCTCATCTGAAAACGCCCCAGTAACAAATAAAAAAAGCAATATTCCTTTAATGTGTTTCATACTGAAACTATAGAGGTTTCCCAGTATTTTCTTTAAGTATGTACAATGTATGTAGAGTTAGATATTATAATATTCGCATATTTAACATTTCTACACACGTAGCACAAAAACTACTTACAAAATTGACAGATCATTGATGGCCATTGACAATTGTCAATTTCTTTCAACTGAAAAAGGAATCTGTAAAATGTTTTGAACATGAAACAATTAAAACTATAATTTCATTTAAGAATATTTTATTAAACATTTTATAAGTTAGAATATTTGTAAATGGCAATAGTAATTAAATTATTGTCTCTAAACATTGCTTTTTTTGCCCCCAAAATCAATAAAAAAAATTCTAGATTGCATCTGTGGATTTCATTCGATTACTCACAACCATGGTACAAAAGAATAAAACACGAAAAATTTGTAACTCGTCACTATGAAAATAATGAATAAATAAAAAATAAAGAAAGTTGACAGGAGATCTGCATTTTTTGGGGTTATGGTTAAGAATTGTTTATTTTTAAGACTTTAGTTCATTTAATTTAATAATTACTAAAACCAGCAGTTCCAAAAATATATTTAAAAATAATAATTACCTATTAACATGGATTTGGTCGATAATAGGTAAGAATACTAAATTTATTTCTATATTCGGTATAAAATTCTTTATTAGGTTTTTAGTTTGCGATGTTTATGGTAAATAATTTTCATGTTCATTGCCTCTGAATTCACATGAGGACAGAGATGAGGTTATCTATGGAAAAGTAACCACAAGAGGAATTATTACATCATTTAAAAAATGTTGGGAAGTTTATTGTTTCCCATCGAAAAGTAGAAAATGCCAATGCAGATGAACGTATTGTAATTGTGATAGAAGTAATTCCAAGGGTGAAGTTTATTATAATTAGTGACCTGTGCTTCTTTTTATATGTAGATGTTTCAGGTTTTGAGAATAAATTGGTTGAACGACACCCAAAATTTAGAGGAAGTATTTGCATACCCAGAATATGCCCATCGAGGATTATATTATAGCTCAAATTTCCTTTAATGGTAGACAATTATTCAATGCAAATTAGCTTTTTAAGTGACTGAAATATTAAATAGTTTACAATATGGTATATCACTAAAAATATATTACTTTTAGGTACAATTAGGGCCCGATACATTTCAAAAAGTAGATTATTTTATATTAAATGAGGTATTGTACCAACAATCAATTTATATTAATAACGGAGATTAAAAAATAACAGAATAAATAGTTCTTTTTTTATACTACAAAAAAAACTATAGAATACAACAGTATTTAAAAAAATAAATAAAAAGTTATGTCCCGGCCGAGATTCGAACTCCGGTCTCTCGCTTTCTAGCCCGACTCCTTACGCACTGCTCCACAGTAACTTGCTTAGCGATAATTCATGACGGTATATAAACTTGAAAAAACAGGTTTATAAGAATATCTTGGACTTTAGATAATTTCTACGCAGCGCCATCTATCCCTCTACTGGCAGAAACTCCCGCCGTGTTTCCAAAATTCAAATGCTTAGTTTCATCCGCCTTGATTGTCAATTTCTTTCAACTGAAAAAGGGAATCTGTAAAAATGTTTTGAACATGAAACAATTAAAACTATAATTTCATTTAAGAATATTTTATTCGATTTGAACTGGCGCGCGGGCGTGCTGACCAATAGCGCCTGTTATCACCTGTGACGTAGCGACCAACCTGCGCAATATCATAGATTGCATCTGTTGTTTCATTCGATTACTCACAACTAGGGAGCGTCACATTATTTTTGTAAAAAAGTAGGGTTAAATTAAATTTTAAGATTTTTGCTTAGGATTTTTGTTTTTTTGTTTGTCTATGATTTTTGTTTACAATTTTTATGAATTTATTTTATTAATAATATGTTAAAACAGCTTTTAAGATTTCGTGAAACCAGAGTACAATTTCGAAGATGTTTTATTTCCCATTTAACGAGAGCCACGGAAGAAAGTGATGAATGTTTACAGAAAAGTGCTGAAGATCCAAATAATGAAATTAGTAAAGCGAATTTGTTAGAACCTCTTTCTCAGGATATATCTCATATTTCTACGTATTTGAAACCCACGTTTAATGTTGCTTCATATGCAAACAAATCTGAAATAATTGAGCAATTTGTTAAATTGGGTGTAAATTTACATTTAATTGAAAAGAAAATCCCCAAGGCTGTAACATTCATTTTAACATTAAAATTTGATGATATAAAAGACCATTTATATTTTTTAAACGAGCTTGGTTTGGAGAAAGAAGATATTGGTCTATTGGTAACAAAGAATCCATTTATATTTAAAGAAAATCTTAACGATTTAAATGTAAGAATAACCTACTTAAAGTTCAAACATTTTACTGATGATATGATACAAAGAATTGTTAAAAAAAATCCATTTTGGCTGAGTTACAGGTAAAGTGTGTATGATATATATTGTAATCAATGATTGAAAATATAACTTAATTTTAGTACTCAAGAGATCGATGAAAAATTGGGATTCATTCAAAAAGAATTTACACTGTCTGGCAATGAGGTTCGTCAAATTGCATTTATTAAGCCCAGACTGATTACATATGATCAAGAAAAAATTAAGTTAAATATATTTGCCGTGAAGCAAGAAATGGGTTTTAGTCAAGATGACATGAAAACACTAATTTTAAATAAGCCCAATATATTTACAATAGGTTAAGTATTTGATAAGTTTTCTGAAGTTTTAATATAGTTCTAATATACATTTTTAGGTCAGAATAGATTATTAGAAGTATTTGATTATGTTCACAACACAATGAATATTTCATTAGAACAGATTATACAAAATGCAGAAGTTTTTACTTGTCGAGCGAAACGCATAAAGGAGAGACATGAGTTTTTAGTAAAATTAGGTAGGGCTCAATATGATCCCAAAAAACCTAATTACGTTGCTCTTACTACTTTAATTAAGGATTGTGATGCTACATTTGCTTGTGAAGTTGCTAAAAGCAGTATTGATACTTATAATATGTACCTTAAAGCTATTTAAACTATGTTTCTAGCAGAAATAAAATTGTAATAAAATCTACACCGTTTTTATTCACAAATTAACATATACCTGGTATTATTCTATTAAGGAACATTAGAAGTTTTCTTCGCCAGTTATATTTACAGAAGTATAGTTGGCTATTTCTATAAAATAGATTCGATATAGAATGTCTTTTTCATTTAAACGTGGTTGTTGGCCGGGAGCGACGATATCATAACAATGTGAGCAGCTCAGGAGAACTGCCTCATTATCCGAAGTTTGTTTTACGTCACATATTTTGCATTGAACTGCGGGTGGTACTATTTCATCACTAAAAATATACAGTAAAATAAATATGTGTTATTTATTAAGATAATTCAAATAAATTATTCGACTTGCCCTAAAGTTTCCGTATCTGATAATCCAAAACTTTTAAACTCTGGACAGTTAATATATGGGCAGGTTAATTTCATATCTGAAGGGTCTTCGGGCGGAAAAGGACATTTTCCTTGGGGTGGTATAAAAAATTGCGTATCTGTACATACAATCTACGTATTATAAAATTCGGTTACTTATGAAGAGGTGTAATAGAAGTTTCTTACTCTATTTATTTCGTTAAGGTTTATATTTGTGTTTATCTGATATTCATCCCCATAGGGAAATTGGATATTTCCAGGGGGAATATAAACTTTTTTACTTTGTACATCGTTCTGAGCGTTTACTATTTTTTCTGATAAGTATATAAAAAGAAATATTGAAATTAAATAGTTTTGTTCCATTTTCTTACAAATAATTTTGAAGTTGAGTGTCATAGGAGTACGTAGCTAATTATTTGCCATATTTTCTGTCAAACAAACTTATGTTGTCAAAAGCGATAATAAGGCAAAAACAAAATTGAAGCGAATAAAACTTTGAATAAAACAATAACAGAATAAAACAATATTTTAAAATCGTGACGATATTTAAATCAAATTAAGCGGTAATATTTTTAATTTAAATGTCCTCTATGAGATTGTAACTTAACTAAAGTATAACATAGGATTACAGATTTCTTTAAGATGTCATCATGTTAATAAATGTCAAACTTGTCATCTGTGTTTGGCAATTTGGCATTGGCATGTGTTTGGCATTATTGACATTTTCTAACTTGAATTGTTTATTGTTGTTTATTTATTTACACGGCATTTTCACGGCCGGGTATTGTTAAACAGTTAAGAATTAAATAATATTTTAAGTATAATTCATATAAATAATACTCCATATTACTATTATCACTATATTAAGTAATATTTTACTATTTAAATGGCGGAGAACATGGACATGGAAACCGATTCTAGGCCGGAAAATCAAGTAAATCTTCCAGTTAATGTAGAATTAAGTCAGAATATTAGCGCTTTAGAAAGGATGCAAGTGTCTGCTGACCATAATTTACCTTCAACCAGTAGTGCAAGTGGAAGCAACAGCTCGGGCTTTGCTGGCCAAAGTCTTAGGTACTTAATATCATTATTAACAATACTTTTCTATGTTCTGTCACGAAAATCTGAATATTATGATTCTTTATAGTCAACCTCCTGCCTCTAAAACGACCATCGTACAGTCAGATCATTCAGAATTTGATTCTGATGATGATCAAGATGATTTTGACTTGTGGAGTTCAGATAGTTCATGTCAAATCTCGGATGATGAATCTAAAGTTGATGACAAGGCGGACGCGGACGTAGAGACTGTAAGAATTATTTTCTATCAATTTCTGATCTGTGTTATATACAGGGATGTTCACCACAAGGAGTCTTGTAGCTAAACGATTAGATTTTTAGAAATTGTAAGTTTTGGGTTTGTTAAAGAACTATTAGGGCTACAATTTCAAAATATTTTTACAAGACACAGAGTGTCCCAAATAAATAAAAAATATCCAAGTTGTAATTTTTTAAATGAAACACCCTGTATATTATTACATTTTTAGTTTCTGTTTTTTTTCATCTCTAAAATAAAGGTAAATTTGATTAAAGTTTATCTCACTCAAATTGAAATATTTTCAATTTTGTGAAATTGCAGTAAAAATTTTAAGACTTTATTTCTCCAAGGGTATCAAAATTTTTAATACTAATTGTTTACTGAAGTTTATCGATCAGTTATTGTGTTGCAATAATAAAAATAATACTACCTCATACAGACTGTCTAAAAATTTATTATAAATAATTTCTAGCTTTAAATGGCAATAACTTGTTTAATTTAAATGGAACACCCTGTATATTTTAGGAGAATCAGATGTACAATATAAATGTCTATCAAATTGTATTTTACCATTTTTTACCTATCTCTTCAAGTTTTCGTAGAAAATGCATTTTCTTATAATTTAGACCTCATTTATATAATTGTATACCAATGGAATATTGACAGTTTAGATTGTTTTTAAAGCAACAAATGTACAAAGTGTACAGATGCTAAAAACGATAATATTACTAGTCCATTTGTATACAATATGTAATATGTAAATATCATAACCATTATTTCCGCCCAAATATTAATTAACATATATTAATTACATACTTAATTGTGTAAATTAATAAATTATTCTAACTAAATGTGGATCAGAAATCAATAATAATAATAAGTTATAAAAATGAACGTCTCTGTTATTATAACGTCTTGTTATAAATAAGCATTCGTTAAAAAATGAAATACAAATTTTAAGGTGTTCCTTTTTACCACACTGTCTAATACACATACATAGTTCACTTTTTTAGTATTTGGGACAATTATTATTAATCAACACAAACAGTGTGTTAATGTAGTTTGAATACTGGAATCATAGTAATTGGTCCTTTTTAACAATAATTTAAATAGTTTTTTTATATATTTTTTAATAAAATAAACGAACTATATCGACAATATTAGTATCTGTACTCTTTAAAAATTTGTTACACCTTTAAAAATAATCTAAAATGTCAATATTCTATGAGTATATTGATAAATGAGATCTAAAGTATAAGAAAATGCATTTTCTACGAAAACTTGAAGAGATAGGTAAAAAATGGTATAATACAATTTGATAGACAATTAAATTGTGCATCTGATTTTTATAAATATATAATATACAGGGTGTTCCATTTAGATTAAACAAATTATTGCTGTTTAAAGTTAGTAATTATTTAAAATAAATTTTTAGACACTTTGTGTAAGGTAGTATAATTTTTATTATTGCAACACACAATTCAGTAAATAGGAATACTTCAGTACAATATTTGGTTTAAAAAACTTAAATACGCCTACAGAAAAATGAAGCATTAAAATTATTACTGTATATTTTGACAAAAACCAGAAAATATTTCAAAAACGGGAAGATTAAAATGCGCTAAACCGTAATCAAATTTACATTTATTTTAATTGTAGAAACTAAAAATGTAATAATATACAGGGTGTTCCATTTAAAAAAATACAACTTTGATATTTTTTGTTTATTTGGGACACTCTGTTTCTTCAAAAATATTTTTAAATTGTAGCTCTAATAGTCCTTCAACGAACCCAAAAGTTAGAATTTGCAAAAATCTAATCGTTTAACTATAATGATAATACTCCGTGTCGTATGTGGTGAACAACCCTGTATATACAGAGTGTCCCAGAAATAAGTGCAAGTATTTTAGGGGGTGGTAGATCTCGATAAAAGAAACATATTTTCTCATTATAGTTTTTCAAATAAGTCCAAAATAACGGAGTTATTTTACTTTGAAAATTTTCAAAAAAAAATATTTTTTGCTCAAAATTTGAGAGCCACTGGATCTTTTCTGGATTTTCTTTAGTGTAAATTTAATCTATTACCTATGTTGCCATATTATCAAGAAATTATGTTTTTTAACTAAAAAAATCCAAAAAAAATTTTCAAAAAATTCCGAATTTTCAAAAAAGAATTTTCGCGAAAAAAAACTCATAGACGTGTTTCTGGGGTTGAACTATACTACCAGTGAATAAGTATTTTTTTTTATCTGTGTTTGATTTCTAGCAGACTGGTAAGCGTAGAAAAAAAGCTGCACAAGACCAATGGAATCAAATAGACGAACAAAAAATTCATAAATTCGAATTTTCTGGTAACTCTCAGTTAACAAACATTAACATAAAAGAGACTATAACTCCTTTACATTGCTTTAATTTATTTGTCGATGATGATATAATAAATTTATTAGTTACTGAAACAAATAAATTTGCAAGAAGTAAATTTATTAGACCGGGATACCATAAAGACTTCTTAACCGGATGGATGGATGTTACACCCACTGAAATGAGGGAATTTATTGGTTTGTTAATTTTTATGAACTTGAAAGCATTTAGAGGTATGTTGGTATTCTTAATTCTTACACTTCAATTTTTTTTTTTAAATTTAAATATATTTTTAGCTTCACTTGGTTCAAAATATTTTTGGTCGGGTGATAGGAATACAAGAGGTCCAATAGCAGGGTATGTAATGACAGAGACACGTTTTAAGAGACTGATTACTTTTTGGAGATTTGGCGAGGAGCAAGGGAAGTTTTCAAAGATTAATGTGCTTCTTCGCATGTTGAACGCTAATTTTGCTAAATACAAAACACCGGGGCGCGTTTTGTTTGTGGGTGAGTAAGATATTGATTTTTCATAATAAATTATTCAGAGGTTGCCTTATGAAAACATATCGAGGGTCACAAGGCAGGACCTCGTATGATTTTTTTAATAAAATTATATTATTTTTTAAAAAAAATTTTGCGATATTTTCACAAAAATAATTCAAAATATTTCTTTTGGTAATAAAGTATTGATATCTCGGCTCTATAAGATAATAAATCCTTTAAAAAAATTATAATAATTTAATGTAAAATTGGGTATGTTTTTGGAATTTCCTGGAAAATTGTATTAAAAATGATACAAGTTACTGCACTGTGACCCTCGATATACAGGGTGTCCTAACATTCCAAAAATACATACTAGAACTACTATGTATTTTTGTAATCAAAATAAGTTCATTGGGTACAATTTACCTCCATACAAAAGTGCTTTGTTTGCCCGGTAAAGGGCATCAAACTTTAAAAAATAAAAACATTTTTTTAATATTTTAAGAACCATTGTTCCGATTTAAATGAGATTTTCGGGTGTCTATTTTTAGTTGTTGTTTTTTTTAGTGTTTAGTGTTTTAAAAAATGACTTACAACAAAATTCAAGACAAAGTACGGGAAGGTTGAAAACTACCCCCATCCTTACCTAAATTTTAGTATTAATATTTTCCACTCTTGACCGATTTTTTTCTATAAATTTGTCCTTCTAGTATTTACTACATTTTTGTCTCTTGTAAAAAATGCTACATCGCATATAGTCTAAGAGCTAGCAACGTATTCGAGAAAGTATTTTAAGAAAGCTGGCTCTTTGATATACAAACAAACAAACAACGCTTTATTGTACAAAAAGCCAAAACAGCTTTATCGACAAAGCACTCACAAACAACAAAATCACAAAAAAAATACAAACAACAAAAAATACACAATACAAATAATGCAATTCAAAAAAATTTAAGTCTTTAAAATTACAAAAAGAATATACATGGACAATTTTAGAACAGTACGCAGTAAATAGATATAATTTTAGAGTTATAAAATATTAAATACTTGACCTTTGACCAGTGTGTGAGATGATCAAAATTTTAATATTCAAAATTGTTCATAATTAAACATCAACAAAAAATTTATCTTTTTTTATTAAATATTATACTTTTTTTCTATTTAATATCTTTTACTATGCTCTCTGGAACAGCATGCGGCCCGTCTGGCTGCCGATACCCTTTGCGTTCACTACTGCGCATCAGAAGAAGATCCTATATATTTTTTTTAATTTAGTCCTATAAATTCTAGTATTGAATACAAATCGAACATGTCTCCATAGCGCAGTGTGTAGAGTTTTCGACTACGAACCGAGGATTCAGAGTTCGAATCCGGGTCAGGGCAAAGACTTTTTTATTTATTTTCGTTTATATTCTGATAGTAAAGTATTAAATAATCCTGGTGATTCAAAAAAAAAAACAAATATTTAATTCTTTACTATCAGAATATAAACCAAAATAAAATAAAAAAGTTTTTACCCTGACCTGGATTCGAACTCTGACTCCTCGCTTGATAGGCGGAACCTCTAGCCCGCTGAGCTATGGAGACTCGGTCGGTTTATATTCAATACTAGAATTTAAATGACTAATAAAAATATAGGATCTTCTTTCAATGCGCAGTATGGAACGCAACGTTTACCGGCAGTCAGACGGGCCGCATGCTGTTCTAAAGAGCATAGAAAAGATATATCAAAGAGCCAGACGTCTTAAAATACTTGTTTTTCCGACGTTGCTAGCTCTCGTACTAATAGTTTTAGAGAAAAAAAAATTGGAGAATTTTTCTTTTCCAAAACATACAAAATAGACAGAAAGATTTTGTGGCCATATAACAACTACATATTTTTTTTAAAAAGTGCTTCGTTTGTCCGTTAGAGGTTGTCAGTCAAAAATAAACCCTTTAATAAACCTGAATGTAAATTAATTTAAAATTTATTTAATCTTTTAAGCTTCATTCAGAACCTCCCAATTAGTGGAATAAATTAGTGGTTTCAATTACACTTCATACTTTTTAGTTTACGATCATTCATAATGTTTAAAAAACACAATTAAAATTAATAAAATATCCTAGCAACAGCTTGCGGTAGTCTGTTGTTTCCATAGAGAATAAACAATTTGATTTCTAACCAAAATTTTTCTTGACGGGTGATAATCAAAGGCCAAAATGACATTCCTCGCAAATTTTGAAGTATAATTAGTGGAAAAGTCAATTGTTAACTTTTTCCAATAATTGAAAATTACTACCACTAATTATGACGTTCTGAATGGTTACATTAAAATTAGGTGAACAAACTTCTACGGCTAATTGAAACTACTAATTTATTCTACTGATTTCGAGGTTCTGAATGAAGCTTTAGGTTTTTATATGAAGCTTATTGTCAAATATAATTTGTGATACTGTCATAAAATTTCATATACTGTCATAAAATTTCAATTTTTGTTAATGTTGACATTTATTGATTATTTTGATTTCAAATATCTCGAGAACCATTTCTCGTAGCAATTTTTACAAAGAAAACTTTTTTTCTGCGTAAAAAAGACGGAAAAATATTTTTTTTTCACTCGGTAGTTTTATACAGGTACGGACGAAAAGTTATTACTCCTCAAACCAGTTAAAAAATATGTAGGTGGCTACAAGTAGAAGTCATTTGACATAGAAATTAAATTTATCGTATCAAAAATCTCCCAGATACCAACTGTTATCCAAATATCGACGCTAGTTAAGAAATTATTTGGAAAAAATGGAATTAAAACTGAAACTTCTACACCCTGTATCTCCGAAACGAAGCATTTTAGGACATTACACGATTATTTATTATTTATTTTATTATTATTATTATTATTTTATTTACACGATTTTTTTTTACTCATTTTTATCTGCAGAATATAAAGTTTACCGAATACAATTCGGGCCACCTTGTATAAAAATTATTAAAAAAACTATTGTGACTTTTTTATTTAAAAAACTATACTTTTGTAGGTAAATCGACTTTGTACCTGCGACAGCGCTATATTTTTCAGAAATTGGCCGACAGTCCCAAAAGAGCGCAAATAATTTTAAAATTGGTCGACAACGAAACGTACATTTACAAGGTGGTTGCTATGCCTCCGACCTATTTGACGGACGATGGTAAAAAGAAACAGGCCGTTTTGGAGCTGTTAAAAGATTACTTAAACCAGGGAAGAATGGTTATTTTCGACGACCTATTTATTTCCGTGGATATAGCGCAGAATTTAGTCAGTAGGAAAACGCACGTTGTCGGTCCGATACGTAAGAAGTCGAAAAGCATTCCCGAAAAAGTTAAGAAGTTAAAGTTACAAAATAACGAAGTAAGTGAGAATTGTTGTTTTGAGTAAGACCGCTTGTACACACACCTGTGCCGGGGTCGGCCGATTTTGCCAGCGTGTGTGAAAGCGCTCTAACTGTCTATACCGCGTTGGCAAGCTTCATTCTTGGGTCGGTATTTACATGTGTGGAATGAATCCTTTTGAGATCTTATTAACTAAGGCTAAGAACATAGTGGAGCGACGAGGATAGCGGTGAGCAAGTAGCGCGATACCGCGTCGAGCAAGCCTCGAGGTGTTGAAACATAGTAGAGCGGCGAGGAATAGCGAGATACTTGTCCAAATTTATTATTTTCATTTGCTTATTGAGAATTTAAAATGTGGCTAAAATTCTGGGCAGTAGTGCCGCAAACATTTGGTTAGATGAAATTTTCAAAAACCTGAGAAAGTATGGCAAGTTTTATAACCTTAAGAAAATTTGTTCCCACATCATCTCATAACTTATCTAAAATGTACCGGTTATGGTGATTACTATCTTTCTGATCCCGTAAAATCTCTCTTACAAATACTAAATCTATTAATTTTTGAGAATCTATCATTTTTTACAGCGCGACAGAGCGACGAAAACAAAATTATTTGAATCGATCTCTCCGCTCGATCTAACCGCTCGATCTAACCGCTCGAGCAGATCGCTTTACCATGTTCGCACGTACTTGTCTTCACAGGTTTGTTTTGGACGCGATGTTGCGCTGCTTGCTCGCCGCTATCCTCGTCGCTCCACTATGTTCTTAGCCTTAGAGAAAGAAAAATACGACGCTGGTTGTACGCTGTGCTGTTGTGACGTCGCCACAATTATCGGTGACACCAATGATTAAAGAATACAAGGACATGTAACGGCCCTATACGGGCTGCAGCAAAATTTGTGACCTTTAGACGCCATTTTTTGGACATAACGAATGAATCATTAGCTGGTCATCAGCGACAATTTTAGCGATTTTTAATAGTTGGTTGTGTGTAGTGAACTTTGTATAAACTTTATTACAATGGTAATTTGTTCAGCTTTCAAGTGTAAAAGGCGCAATGATAAGAAAGATCCGGGAGTTAGGTTTTATAGGGAAATAAACGGTCCACTACACCTTTTTAGCGTTTTTTCATTGAATTCGATAATTATTTTTCTGACATTAGATGTACTTGATATGTGCTATACGTCGATACTAGTTTTGTACCATTTGTTAACATTTTAATACGTTTTTTTCGTAATTAATTAGTATGATACCACAGGACACACCAGAGGCGTAGTGAAAATATTTACCAAAAATATAAATATCGCTTCAAGCGGCTATGTTAAGAAAAATATGTGCCACAGCACTGTTTGGAAGAATGGTCACAGTTTGGTCTCGATTACTATTTGTCCTTGTATTCTTTAGTCATTGGGTGACACAGATGCACCTTTTCCTAATGTAGTCCCTCATAGCCCCTCCCTAGTTGCGCCACTGCTTATTTCTGCGAGTTTTTTTCGGAAGTATAACTAGATGAAATCTATAGGCTTGGTGCATTCTCCGCCGGTGCTGCCACCATCATAGAATATCGTAAACAATCGGTATATACAAACACAAGGGTTTAAATATAGCAAGTATACGAAAAAAACTTTATATAGTTATTCTAAAAGTGTTGTGAAAATTCTAAAAATAAAATAAAAAAGTAAATATTTGGATATCTTCAGAAGGTCTAATTTTTATTATAATTTATTATTGAAGCTGATAAAACTTTTTAGATGAGTTCAACTGTGATAGCGAGCATAGTTTTACGCACCGGGTTTTCTAGTGCGGACATAACTAGGACTATTTCGGCTATAACGAAATTTTCGAAGGTTTTTAGAATTAGAATATATTCATAAAAAATTTAAGCGCTAGTTGGTTAAAAAAAGACTCATTAATATTGCAAATTATATTTTATCCTCTCAGTATATGTCTATTTCATTTTTTGATTATGTAAAGGGCACTTGGTTTACTCACTTGTTTCGTCGAACTGCTTAATTCCATTTTTGTTTTTAGTGAAATCGATGTGAGAAGCTGTGAACTATAAAATGTTGATTCGGGAGAGTTGAATATCCGGGAAAGTCGGGTTATTGAATTTTATTGCATTAACATTTGAAATTGTTAGAACACAACGCGAAGCCCAGTTCGAGTTCTTTTTCATTTAATTTTTACTACCCGAATCAGCGTTACATCACACAAAAACCTCGTACCTGAGTGTTTTATAGTTTCAATAACTGCACCAGCAAAAAACTAAAATACTTAACAAAATGTTTAAAGGAGAAAAATTGTTTTTTTTGCATTAAAAACATTTAAAAAACGCAGTTATGAACTTTTAGTACACGGCAATTTTCAGAAATCGTGTAAATTTTTTGTTTGTAAAGATTTTCACATACTAAAATGTAGCAAAAACATTAAGTAAGTTCAATCAATAATTTCTAATAGATTTCGAGATACCGATTTTTGAGTTTTAATAGCGCAACTATCGAGCACTAACTTATTTTTTACCAAAAATGAAACTTCTAAACATTTTAGAGTCGTTTAATTTCTAACTTGCATTTAAAAATGTAGAAGCTATAAGGGAAATAACAATGATTCAATAAACAAATACAATATAATGAGACGTAATTAAATCCTGAAGCTGACCGCATGATGTCTTTCTACGATTGTCCTCTACTTCCTTAACTTCGTTATGCGGCGCGACCGTTTCAATCGCGACGAAGCTGCCATATCCTTTTCCACGTCTCTTAGCACTGTGCACAGTTTCTCGGTTTCTTCATACTTTTGGCAACATGTTTACTCTTCTCTCTTTGTTCACTACATTATAAATTCTTTAATTCCTTAATTGTTCTAAACAGATATTAAGAGCAAAATGAACAGAAATTCGAGAATTGCGAAATTTTGTAATTATTTTATGGTTACGCTAATTTTAGGTGAAGGGATTTCAGAATCCACAGGGCATATCCATTTTTAAATGGAAGACAGACGATTTCAGAGGCTGTGGATTAAGTTCGTGTCATTCCTACAACACTGTCGAAGTTGAAGAACTTAATAGGCGGGAAGGTAAAGAATTTTTATTTATTTATATATGATGTCCCATATGTCCCATTAAAGGTTGATTCTCACTATACCTTCCCTTTCCATTCCATATCCATTCCGTATTTTTATTGTATTGACATAGAAGCGTAAGCTTTCGTTCCGTATCAGTTCCATTCTTTTTATTGTACAATTTATATCATTACAAAGTTTTAACAAACTTGTATCTTTTAAAGAAAAAGGTAATAAGATTAAGAGGTAAAAGATACAATTATTAACAGAAAATGTTAACAGAGTTAGCACAAATCTAAGAACTTAACAACGCTGTTTCTGATACGCTTCAATCCGTCCGCCAAAAAATGTATGGAAGGAAAGAGTGCTAGAACATGACAGAATAAAAGATTAAGGAAAGACATATCAAAATCTTAAGATCCACCGCGAAGGGACTCAAATGGCCGACTTAAATTCCGGTTTATCGATGCCGTTTAAATTTTAATACTTATGTAATAATAATAGCTTCCGTATATAGCGTTTAACGCCTTGGGAATGGCAAGGTACAGCTTGCTATACTAGAAGTCGTTGGTATACAGGAAGGTAATATGGCTAACACTACGCTTCAACTGCCTATTTTTACCTCAGGATTGTGAATCCCGAAATTGCTCATTTAAGGCTGAATTAAACCTAATTTTAAGCTGTTTTTATTTTTAATGAAATAGTCGGCTGATAATCGGGTGTGGGAATCGAACCCACACGCCCAGAGATTAGTAGACGAGAGCTCTACCTCTACGCCACCGGGCACCTATAATTTTATTTAAAAGTGCAAAACTATGATGGAACGGTAGAATTGGGCTCAATAATTTGTCGTTTATTTAACGTTGTGAATAAATATTGGTAGTTATTAAAATTGTAATAAAAGTATATAATTGTAATAAAATAGGTAAAATTTATAATATTATTTTATTAACACAAACATCCGATACGCTACTGAACCAAATTAGAGTCAAATTGACGTATCTAGGATTCTTTGACATCCCCACAATCTTTGACCAGATAATAAATAAAAGCCAAATAAGAAAATGTAAAAATAAAATATCACGCACTAACATATCATTCTATGAACGATACAAATTGTCCACCTTGTTAGCGAAAAGGTTCAGTTTAGAACAGTGTTCACTGTAAATTTGAATTTGCGACATAAAGGGCTCATCTCCCCACCTTATCATAAAACAGCATTATTCCAAAGATCATTTACGTACAATATCTATAAACTATATAAATAATGGCATCGATAAGTGTTTTAGAGACCTGCCAGTTCATAGTTTTAAATCGCATTTAAAGCGACACCTTCTAGATCAACAATGTTAAATTATACTTGAGCAGCGTTTCTTTCTTTTTAGTGTTTTCCTAAACAATTTTACATATAATTTCTATTTTAAGTTTCTTCTTTTCCTTTGAGAATTTTAATTTGTTAAGCAAACCCTGTATTTCTTTTTTATATATTCTTTTTTTTATATTATTGCTATTTACATGTTAATGCATTAAACAAGGCTGGAACTTTATCAGTTATGCTGTATTCCAGTCTTTTTTGTAATTTTGTATATTTCTTTTCTTTTGTTTTTTGTTTATTGTGTTTATAATTCTTTTGGTTGTATCTAATCTATGTACACAAATTACAATAAATTTTCTTCTTCTTATTATTATTATTATTAGTTAATTCGTGCATTCATAAATAGTCGGTTTACTACGATATGTATATTATATAATCACTTACTAGCGAAAGTAATTCCATTATTTCATTCGATTTGCAGCCGAGATCTACCGCACTACTGGCCAACTGGAATTCTTTTTCGATAAATCGCGATGGTGTCACTGTTAATTTAAGTTCTGCCACAATTTCCATCTAGATTTACTACCTTTATACAACTATCAGTAGTAGAATAAATAATAAATAACATAAAATAAGCTCCGTAAAGACCAACAAATCCACAGGTTTCGTCGATTCAATGTATCAAATGAATCGTTAAACAGAACTGTCAATGATCCCACCCTAGAGTCCTTTTCCCTTCCACCATGCATGAATACATGGATAGTATTACGCTCCTTCCATGCGATATTTTTATTTGCGGGGCAGAGGGAAACTGGAACGGATAGTGTACATTATGCAAACACACTTGATATATTTTATGTAGCGGGAAAGGGAGCTGATATAGGAAGGTAGTGACAATCAACCTTAAAATACTAAGCAGTCAAATGAATTGAAATAGTTGGCTATTCTGGTTTCCAATCATTTGGGTTTCAATACAAATACTTATTTACTGCTATTACTCTTGATATTTATTGCAGTAGAGATGGTTACATAGGAACTTTTCTGTGACTGAAAACCCGATACGTGAATAGGCTAATAACTAAAATTGAGGGCTTGTGGGGTCGGGGCATTTGACGGGCAGTTTATTTTGTCACTGCGCATCCCAGACGCGCATGGCGTTTAGGCGGTCAAAAAGGAAGTTTTCAACTTTGCAAGTTAAACGTGACAGGATTGATACGTTAATATTAAACACTATTTCTTGGCTCAGAATACCTTCACAGTCAGTTGAAATAAAGATAATCGGGGTAATAAATTGTTTTTGACTGAATGTGCCTGTTCTTTTAGAAAGATTATTAGGTATTGATTATTTCAGATTCAACGATTATTCGGCATTCGTTGTGTGGTTTGAGATGAACAGGCGTTTGGGCCCAAAGGTAGTTTATCATTGATATTTAAACATGCGTAAATAGTAATAGTGAGTGCACATAATAATCACCTGTTCATACATTAAAATTTAGATAAAATCTTAAGAGATTGCAGCCTTGGATTTGGAATAATGAAATTATGGAGTTAAATAAATTCTTATGTTCCTAAACAGTATTTTGTTGGGTTTGTAGTTTGGTCAATAATAGTGATTATCACGTTGTCAACAAAATGATATAAAGCTTCGAAGATTTTTTGTTATAAACCGAAGATTAAGATTTGTTCGTAGAAGAAGGTGCAAAATTTTTGGCGTCAGTATATAGGTATGAATACAACCTGCTATATCGATAATGCGCTCATAGTTCGGGTTAGACGCCAAAGGCCGCGCCACTAACACGGTCTTCAAAAATTAACGTGGGTCAATTATCGCTTGGATTCTTTAGTGTTCTCTCTGACGCGGTGTTATCTCTCTTCTCTCCACTACCGGACATTCAAATATCCCTCATTACCGCACGTATTTGTTAACTAATTCTAATTCTTCCATTTACTGCGATCTATTGTGTACTGCTTTCTCCCACTGATTCTGCTTATCAGATGGAGATATGTAATACCACAAGATGTTTTGGGATTACCGAATAATACTGTTACCTGACACGGTTGCCTGTATCGCATTGAGTGTCAAGCAAAAGTATTAGGTAATTCCGAAACATCGAGTTGTAGTCAAAAGATTATACAACGAAACAAAGTACATATATGCTTGTGATATTTTTTTTGCCATTTTAGCAATAAGAATTGACGGGATGAAGTATTTTGTGGAGCCGACAGAAATGACTTCTGATGTATTTCAAAAATAGCGACGGAATTACAATATGGCCACAAAGCGATAATCACTTAAATGATTATCACTTATTAATCACATCCTTCTATATAGGAAAAATACTATACATAGAGATTGTATAAAGAAATCCTTTAAAGGTTTCTGGAAATATCAACTTGTACCTTTTAATTTGTCCACCCAGTTTCCTCTTACCGTCTACAAGCTCACCATAAAGAGATTTCGGTAGGCGGTTTTCTTACAAAGCCAACTAAACGCGGTTTTTTCATAAGGTATTATTTTTCTTTATTTATTTTTAGGAAATGTAACTGTAACTAAAAAACAGTCGGAATTTCTAAAAGATTTTAGTAGCAGCGCCGATGTGTTTGAAATGGTTGAGAACTCGCACCACAAAGAGATCCATTAAATGGCCGAAACCACATGGTAAAAGAATAAATTAAAATAATTATATATTCTTTTTTGCAACGCTGTATATTTTAGGTACAGAAGATTGGCGGCTGATCTGCTGGCAAGTACGTGCGTTATCAACGCATATCTCGTCTATAGAAAGTTAACCAATGACACGACGCGAAAATTTGACGATTTCCAAGATTATTTGTTTAAACAATTGGTAGGGTTTACGTGCCAGATAAAACCTGTAGGGAGGATAGTTTCTATAATCATTTTTGTTTTTGAAATGCCAATGTGTAGAAGAATATATCATCGATGTGTAAAGTGCGAAGTTTTAAATGGAGTAATTACAACAAACTTCTTACTGTCATTTGGGGTAAAAAAGCAAAGTAATTAAAATAAAAGGTCTATCACATTTTGATTTGATTCATTTTTTTTTTTCTTCTTTTTTTTTTTTTTTTTTTTTTTTTTTTTTTTTTTTTTACAAAATAAAATGTTATTTTTTGTTACAGATTATACAGATTATAAATTATCGTGTGGCGACTTTGTGGTTCCAATTTTCAGAGTCGCGCATAAGTTAGGTTACTAGTTTGCGCACGTCCACTTATGGCCTTTAAAATTGTTTACAGCGCCTGACCGGCCTAGTTATTACGCTGTTTAAGCGCGAGTTTATTTTGCGCCTGAAATTTTATTTTACGGTAATAAAAAAAAACAATTTTTCGTACCACGAATTAGGGACAAAGAGGTGTTTTTATAAACACCGCTCCGTTGATTTAACGGAGACCAATTTGTCAGCGGCAGTTTGTCATTTTAACAGAAGAACGTGGCGATTTTTAAGAGACGCATCTGTGAAAAAATAAAGTCTTGACAGAGCTGCAAGCTCACAGAAAAGGATTAAACGCGGTTTGAAATAATTTGTAACTAAGTCATTGGATTTTAAACCATTTGTCGAGCGACATGGTACAGGTGTGTTTGTTTGGACATGTTTGGAACTTGTCGGTTCCCTGAAAGTTTTCTTATTACGGAACATGAACGCAGAAAAATTCTCATTTTAATTTCACAAGATTTGTAATAATATTTTGTGTTTACATCCAAAAGCAATAATGGAGTTAGGCAGTAAAGGTAAATGCATTTCATTAACTAAAATAGAATGACTTTTTAGGATCACATAAACTTATCATGCAGCCATATTGTTTCTTAAAGTCAGAACATTTAAAGAAACTAAAGACAATTAATCGTGAATGTTTTATAAGCTATAAAAATATAAATGTTGATTAGATTTGTTTATTTATTATTCAGTCTGTTTTAATATTGGACCTGCAAATCTTCACTTGAGCTGTCTTGTGTTTAACAGTTTATTAATGAAGTACTTTTCAATATTAAACTCCAGTGAAAAACAGAAGCAATAAAACCAGAGAATAGGTACGGGAGTTGATACATTTTGGTTTGACATTTTAAAGCTTATAACTTTTTGTTTGATGGGTTAAACATTCATTCAAAAATATGTTGTAGCAGTTTCAGCTAAGTTTTTGCGAGTGTTGTCAGAAATGACAGTAGGTGTCACATTTTAGATAGGAGTGTGATTTTTTAAAACTAAAAACCCCGATACGATTTCCTGTATATTAATGTACGATAGTTAATTACCTTTTCTCGAATTCAAAAATGTATCACACATGTGCATTCTTATTCATAATTTCATTTTCGGAATTAATAAAACAATTAATTAGGAAATCAGATAGTTATAAATGGTTTTGTTTCCAAATTATGTTTGTTAGTTTGCCTTATCAATGAAGCACAACACATTAATAATAACAATTTGTAATACTGACATAACAATAACAATAACTAGCTATAGAATTAAAAACAGTTATAGGTTATTTATTTTTAAAATCATATACAGGCCTCGCTTTTTTAAATTAAGAATTTCGAAATATTTTCACAATATGACGTTTAAAATGTTAATGTGTATATATTTTGGTGGAAAGGGGGACTATCTAATGCGCTACTAATACAGGGTGTCCCATTTGAAAAGTTTTTTTTTTTAAATGGGACTGTATCTATTTTATCTTATTTTCTGTCATTTTTGACTAACCTCTGCAAAACTTGGCTGAAACTGCTACAACATGTTTTTTGAATGGCTGCTTTAACCAACAAAAAAATTATAAGCTTTCAAAGTGGGTCAAACTAAAATGATAACATGGGACACACATTAAAAATGCATGGAGCAATTTATAATGAAATTATTGAAATTTAGAAAGCGTCAACATTTGACGTTTTAGTATTTTACCAAACCGTTCCGTATCAAACCAATGTTTTCAGAAACCGCTCTTTACCGTAGTTTACCTGTCTGGTTCGCCTGGTTTTTCAACGGAATACAGCCTAAATCCTTTATTCGAAATAGAAAAAAAGAATTAAAAAAAAAAAAAAAAAAAAAAAAAGATAAAAAATTTTAAAGTCAAATAAAATATTAAAAAAAAAAAAAAAAAAATATATTTTATGATAAATTTTAGCAGAAGCGTTTCTTTAAACTATTGTACGTAATAAAAACAATGCTCATTACCACTAAACTAAATAAAATGTTAGTTTTTCGGAACCGATTTTGATTATTTGTCATGTTACGCATGCGTAGTGAGTCTGTTGTCTTTCAAGGGAATCCCCGACTTCGTTATGTAGCCCGAAAGACAGAACGAAATAAATTGATCAATAAATAATTGATGTATTCGATGACATCTATCTTTGATGGATACATGTATAAAAATACCTAAGATCAAGTTCTGAATTTATAAAAAACATGTATTTGTGTTTGGAGTTGTTCTGAAATTTAACTGTTTTATTTATGTAGTTTTATTTTTTATGTTATTTATATTTTAACAGGTTTTATGATAATTTACTTAGTAAGAAAATCGTTAATTATTAGTAATAGAAAGAAATTAATATTTCTATTCCTTGGCTGCATGTTGACTTTGAGTCCATTCATAGTTTGTCATTTTACTGACTAGGATCGTGGTTGAAAGTCCGACATGAACTAAGTCATATAGGCGACATTCAAGGCCGACTTAAAGTCCAGGCGCATTGTCCATATAATATATATATATATGCTCATATATCATCTCATCATACCATGCATATATCTCATATGTATCATAAATATATATATCTCTTCAAGTATGTCAAACTCGACACATTCATGACTGACTTGGTGAAATGATTGCTCCTCGTCTTCTAGGAAGAGATTTTGCCAAAGTCATCGGTCTTAATGCTCCGGCGTGATTTTGACTGATTTTGTTATCGATCGGATAAATGAATAGCCAGAATACAGACATTCGTCATGTTGATTCAATAGAAACCGGTAACTTCATTACGGCTTTCGTTTGCGTTCCCGCTCGACAATTGGCTAATCCCCAGAGTAGGGCTAGTAGGGTCTTTCAACAGTGAGCTTATGTGAAAATATGCTGGACAAGATTATCTGGTTGAACAACAAGCTAAACCAGCAGGATAAACGTGTCGTATGTTTGATATATATTGCGCTTAAATCAATTTAGACACAATAATTTGAATTTGACTTAAAACTTAAATTCATTTGATTTTGGCCATTTGAATGCCATGCTTGAGTCTTTTTGAAATGGCTGTTTAGGCTCTGGTTCATGAATAATTCTTATTAGATATTTTAAAATTCAGGAATGCCATACTTCCTGAGCATGAAGAGGTTTTTGTATTTTGGTAATTTGTTTATTGTTAGTATAATAGAAAAAAACGGTTTGTTTTTGTGCATATTTCTTCCAGTGTTGATAATACTCAGGCCAGTTAAGTTACTTTTGCATGCATATTATGCATACGAGTTGAAATAAAATTATCAGTGTGTTGTATGGGATGTTGAAAGTTTCAATAATAAAGTGAGTAGAATTTTTTTTTTTTATTATGAGTTTTATTAAGAAAAATATATTTTTTAAAACTCGATATTAAAAAAGTTTCTTATTGGACGCTAACTTTTTGGTACCTAATATGAAGTGTGGAAATGCAAGAATAAAGTGGTTAAAACTATTAGAATATTATATATTTTTTTTATTTGAATATTTTTTTAGTTATACAGGGTGGACTAATAATGCAGGACGTCGCGTCGGTTTACTTACTCTGGAACCGTTAATGATGAACAACAGTCCATTTTACTTTTCATAGTCCGAAAAGTAGCAAAATAAGCGTTTGGCGTTTAACGTTTTATGTAAACTGGCTAGATAAAAGAGATTATATATCCATGTTGTAGCACATTTTTAGTTCTTTTTCAACTTCTATATTTTTAGAGTTTAATGGTCAAACATCAATAAAATATTCCTTGTTTTTTTTTTTTTTTTTTTTTTTTATTTAATGTTTAATTTAAAATTCCGTTACAAAACCTGAAATATAGATTGAAATTTTAGCGTTACAGTGATATATAATTTATATGGTTTTTTAACAAATTGCTCGCTATTTTATGGCAAATGTTGTTCAGAAGTACTAATCAAGCCCAATTAAAGCACGTGTGTGTTTAGAATTTTTGGGTGTGAAACCCAACACTACAGGATGGAGCTAAGTCTTAGGCAGTTATAAATATATTTCCTTCGTACACACCTGCTTTATCCCTGATATTTGATACGTCGTTAGGTAAACCACTGTAAAAATTATTTTTAGGTTTATAAGTTGGTCGCTCAGGGACCAATGGCTATGATAAAGTGGAATTGGCATATGCATGATCGAAAAAAAAAACGACGTCAGTTGGCAGGAAATGAGGTGCACGATTAATTTATTCCTCATATAATTTTATGTACCGAAAAAACTCTACGATTTCATAGCCATAGCTGACGTCGTTTTTTAGGGTTCCGTACCCAAAGGGCAAAAACGGGAACCCTATTACCTATTACTAAGACTTCGCTGTCCGTCCATCTGTCACAAAGGTCTATCTTACGAACCGTTATAGCTAGACATTTGAAAATTTTACAGATAATGTATCTATGTTGCCGCTATAAGAACAAATGATAAAAA